AGCGGCAGAGTGCCGCCGAAGATGCAGCGCGAATGTTGCTGAACAAATCGAAGCACACTGAGGCCGAAAAGGCTCAATGCCGAGGCCTGCCTGCCATGCCATTGTACCGAACATGTGAACAGGACGCGTGCGAGACGGCGTGCTCTGCTTCTTGCAGACCAGAAATGCTTCTCCCGGCTCCGTGCGATCGAGGATGCTGCAACGACCTACGCGCCCCTCGCGGGCAGCGGCGGCGTCGATGCAATCGATCTGAAGATTGTCGCGGCCAGTTGCGACATCCTGAGGAACGACGACCTCACTACGAGAGTGAACGCACGGAAGGAGGCGGCTAAGATAAACGGTCAGCTAGTTAAAGGACGACGCATCTCCTTTATGATTCTAGATCGGCAAAGGTTTGTAGAAGCAGACGGCTGCATATTTGACCATGCCCACCTCAATGCTGCGAACATCAAAGACATGACTCCCAACGAGTTCATTCAAGACTGGGGCTGTGCGCCCTTGGGTACGAAAGAGACCCCCGAGTCGTCCATCCTTGAGACCCCGTTCAGGGTTTGAGCATCGCCCTGACCTCCTCCTCGATATGGGCACGAGCAGCAGGATGGAAAGGGGCGACCCAAACACACGGCCCGCGAGTGGCTGGGCGACAGACGCGCGTAACTCATAGACGGAGGGCGTCTGCAAGAGGCGCGCAGGGAAATGGCGCCAGGCCTCCGAGGTCGCCGCGCAGCCACGTCCGCCAGCGAAGGTATCCGTCGCGACTGGATCCAGAGAGGCCCGTGCAATTTCGACAATTGCTCGCGGCAGCGCGCAGAGCGCTCGCGGAAAAGGCGACGGGGCTGGCTGCTCGCAGGCTCCGCGAATAACTTGCCGCGGAAGGCGAGTGCCCCAAAAACCTCGGTGCAACGAGATGCACGGGCCAACGTGCATGCACCGCCAGCATGGAGCTTCTGACAACGGGAGCGGTGCAATTTCTCGCGCGCCCATGCGACGCCGCAGAAAAAAGCCGACGGCGTCCCGCGCGAAGAAGCCCCCCCAGGACGCCCGCCCATAGACGGCCGAGCTCGCCCCGGCGACGACGCGCCCGCGAGCTCGTCCGTCGCGGCCCCCGGGCGGGGCGAGGAAGCACGCCGCAAGCCTCGGACCGGGCGCCGCTGGGAGAGCAGCTCTCCGGCGGGGGGGCGCGCAGGCCGCCCCGAGACCCGCAGGGAAAGCACCCCGCCGCCGGATCCAGCGATCGCGGCCGCCAGCGGTCGACCTCCGACGGCGCAGGCCGAGGGCGTTCGGGTAAGACCGCGCGCCAATGCGTGCCCGCTGGCGGCCAGTGCTGACGCTTCCGAGGCCCCCCCGCAGCCCCTCGCCGCTTCCCCCTGCCCTGCTCCTGCTTCCGGCGGGGGGCGGGAAGGCGCGGGGAGGCGCGGGGAGCGGGGGGTGGGGCGGGCGGTGGCGCCCGCGCAGGAAGGCAACCTTCTGCCGGGCACCCAGCGAGGTCGCTCCCCCGGGCAGGTGGGCAAACCACCTGCGAAGCACCCGACGAGGTCGCCCCCCACTGTGCAAGGGGAGCTTTCTGCTGAGTGCTCGCCGAGGTCTTTCTCCGACGCGGAACGGCGACCTTCTGCTGTGGCGACGTAAAATGCCGCGACGCGCCGCGACGTTCGCGCCGCGCTGCGCCCGCAGCGATGCCCGGTGCCCTCACGGCGGTACAACTGCTGTGAGGATTGGCGCGTGGGCCGAAGGCGCTGCTAGATGCGAACTTGCGCGCCGCGTGGTAGGTCGCAGAAGCGCGGCATCAGGCGCTGCAGTTGGCCTTGCTGGTCGCAGCCCCACCCCCGGCGCCTTCGGGGCCCTGGCCCCGGCCGGCGCGCGGCTCGCACAGGCGTCCGGTCCTAGATCGAGAGCCGAGACCCTGGCAGGGCCGCAGCGCGCCGCCCCCCTCGCCCGCTCCCAGAGAGGGGCGCCGCCCGCGGGCCCCGGCTGCCGACAACCGTGGAGGCAGGCCACGCGGGCCAGAAGCCTTCCGAGGGAGTGGAGACCCAAGAGAGGAGAAGCATGCTTCGGCGGATGGGCGGCGCGACCGCCTATGGCCACGGCGCGGGCAGCAGGGCGACCTGCTGCGGAGAGGTCGGGCTCGCGCACCTCGAGCTTCTCGACTTGGTTATGGCACTGTTTCTCTTGGTGTCGCATGCTTCCTGTTGGTCCTCTCCGTCGTCTCGTTATTTCGCGTCTCCCGGTGCTCCTGTTTTGGCAGCAGGGTCAGCTATCTGGTTGGAAACACCTGTTCTTTCACGACATCATCTCTGAATTACAGTATTGTCGCGTGCATCAGCATAGCGAGCGCATTGGAGCGCAGCGTGCGCGTTCTGGTCGACTTCCGCAGCAGCTCAACTTCCACGCCTCGAATACATGCACCACCTACAACTGCATGAAGTCTCTCTCTCTCTCTCCCTATCTCTCTCTCTCTCTCTCTCCCTATCTCTCTCTCTCTCTCTCTCTCTCTTCACACCTTTTGAAAGGGGGCCCTCAAACCACCCCCAGGGCAAAATGGATTTCGGCCCAGTGGCTGAAACTGCCTCGACCAGAGGATGGGTTGACCTGGTAAACCAGTTGCGCCCGTCCAGTTTCTGGCCCCCGTGCCCAAACAACGCGGGCCCACGTTGCCACGTCATGACATCACGCGATATCTGTTCACATCCATGGGGGTCCAGAGCTCTCGGCCCCGCCTTGCGCATGGATCTCGCGCGCTGCCCTGCCTCCAAGCGAGGCTTCGCATTCGCGCCCAGGGTTTCAGGCGCCCTTCTCCAGCCGAGCGGGTGCGCCCGCCCATGACGCACCCCCTGGTGACCCGAGGCTGGTGACGTACCCGTAGCTTGCGCCCGTCACGTCCGATCATCATCAGAGCAACGATCCACGGGCGTGCCGAACCCGCCCGAAACGCATAACGAGACCATGATGTGGATTTGCGCGTGGGCCCGCGCTCCGTTGGACTTTCCAGGAGCTCACCAGAGTAACGGCCGCTGGGCAACCTGCAGCCCCCCAGGGAGCGGAGGTCTAGCACCAGTCGTTGCCGCTTCTCGTTGCGCTGAACTTCCTACGAGCTCACGAAGTGGCGACACTTGCGCAATTAGCACCTCCCAGGCATGGCGAGATCTATTTTGGATGCTGTGTGGCCCCGCAGTCCGACGGACCCTTCAGGAACTCACGGCGGCGCCGCCTGGTGCTCAATTGGCAGCCCCCAGGGGAGGGCGAGGTCTCGTTTGGGTCGTGGGGCCCGCGCTCCGCTGGACCTCCCAGCCTCTCAGGAGCTCATGAAACTGGAGGCACTTTGGCAGCTGGCTGCCCCCATGGAGGGCGGGGTCTACATAGTTTGGGTGCCGTGCGGGCCCGCACTCTATACTGGACCTCCCAGGAGCTCACGAAAATGGCGGCTGTTGCGCAGCTGGCAGGCCCAAGGAAGCGCGAGTTCCAGCTTGGGTCCGCTGAGTGCGATGCCGCGCTCGGCGTCCCGGAAACTCTTGACAACAGGTGCACAGTTGGCAGCCCCGCCCCCTGTCCTCGAACCCTGCGGCGCAAGGTGCCCCCCCCCTCAGACTCCCAGAATTTGCGTTGAGGGTGCGGCAATGGAGAGGGCACGGGTGGACAGAAATGTCCGAGCCCCCGAACCACCACCCCCAGTGAAGTAGCCGGCAACGGAGAGGGCACGGGCGGACAGAAATGTCCGAGCCCCCGAACCACCACCCCCAGTGAAGTAGTCAACGCCGACTTCGGGGGCCTGGGGGTGGTGCGCATCCCTCTCGAGCGTGTGAGGGCTCGACTCTCTTCCTCTGCCCGTGTGCGGCCCCTCCTCGACGTCCCCGCCCCCCCCCCCCCCCCGAAGCAGAGAGCGGACGGGCGTGGGGCGGGCAGGAGGCCCGGCGGCCTGCCTGCGGAGCCCAGCGCCTCGCGAGCGCGCCCGCGGCGGGCCGGCCAGGGAGACCGCACGGCGGCCAGCGCCAGGTCGACGTTCTGTCGCTGTGGCTCTCTCGTCGTCGTCGCCAGTCGTCGCCAGTCGTCGCCAGTCGTCGTCAGTCGTCGTCGGTCGTCGTGGTCGTCGTCGGTCGTCGTCGGTCGTCGCCAGTCGTCGCCGCCGAGCACGTGGGGCAGCGGCGGCAAGTGCTACACACTTGGGATGCTGCCAAGCGTGTTCGTCACCGCAGGTCTCGCGACGCTTCGCTGCCGCACCCGTGCTCCGAGCTGCGGGGGGGGCAGGGTACAGTCGGACGGAGGTACGAGATCGAGGTCGGTTCGGGGAGGGTACCCTCATGTTCTTCGTGTTTGTTGGATGTTCGTGTGTATCCTGGGGATGGTACCCTTGGATGTTTTGTTTATTTTGGCCGACGGAGGGTCTCACGTTCTTGCAGGATGTGCTTCTGTCCTAGGTCCGACTGTAGCAGGGCTGTGGCGCTGCGTGGTTGTTGCAGTTTCTGCTCGACTTCTCTCGAGGGGGGTCGCGGGGGCATCCAGGGCAAGGAGCGCCTCTCTGGGGCATCTCGGGGGCCTGCTCGGGGCAGGGACAACCTTGGGAGGTGTTTGGGGAATCTACTGTCAAGACGCTGAACTAAGGAACAGTTTGGGTTCGGAAGGGGCTCGATGTTCGTTAGGTTCCTCCACTGCGATTCCTTTTGCCCTCCTCGGGCACGGAGGCGCTTTTAGGGCCGACAAGGGGCTTCGTTCATTGTTTTGCCTTCCTTCATTCAGCGGCCCGACTGCAAAGAGGGCCTCTGGGGCCGTTGCGGGAGCTCTTGGTGCCGTCCAGTTTGATTGTTTCGCTCGGCCGCATACGATGAACTGCTGACCGTCGATAATTGCGGGTGTTGTCCCGTCACGTGAGTGTCCCAGTCTGTGTGTAATCACCGCGTGATGGTGATCTCCACAGTAGTTGCTTGATCGTAAGCGTCGTTTGAACAACAAAAGGCATCTCATGATTCTCAGAACGTGCTGTCACTGTTCATTGCATCTCTTTCTCAAAGAGGTTTTGCGTATTTCGTTCTTGAAGATTTTCGGGCCCATTAGCCCGCTAGAACCATGGCGAAGGCTGGCGGGCGCGTTGGGGTTGCGCTTGTGGGACTTGGGCGGGCTGGCAGTTTTCATATGACTTCCATTGCGGGCATCCCTGATGAGGCGTGGTTGGCCTGGGTCGTGGACGTTGACGAAGCGAAGGCCAAAGGCGTCGCCGAACAAAAAGGATGCAAATGGGCCACTTCCTTAACCCCCGCGCTGGCAGACCCAGACGTGACCGTCGTGATCATAGCCTCGACGACGGACACGCACTTCCCCTTCATTATGCAGTCTCTTAACGCTGACAAGTCCATTCTTACAGAAAAACCCATCTCCCACGAGCTGAACGAGGTCGAAGAAGCTGTACGACTGGCAACAAGCAAAAATCTGCCCCTGTTCTGTGGCTATCAGCGGCGTTGTGACCACAATTTCCGCACGTTGAAGAGGCATGTGGACGATGGCGCTGTGGGTGACCTGAAGGTTATCAAGTGCTGCAGCCGGGACAACCCGGTGCCGCCTATGGAGTATCCGGTTGCTTGCGGCACGTCCCGCCACACCATCAGCTTAGCAATAGTGGTGGCAGTTCTTTTCGAAGAGCGCACTGGAAGCCTTGGCATGTGACATCTCCTGTCCCGATTCTTGGGGGAGCCGTAACATGTGATTCGCTTTTCCTTTTCGTGTCGGTGTGCCATTCCTCGTCCTCGGCGTCGTCCTCATCCATTCCTGATGCTCCCTTTTCTCCGCGTTCAACCCGCCCCACCGTCTCCCCGTTTCTCCTGTTTCCTCCTGCCCCATTCTCTGCGCGGCGACGGTGGGAGCAACGCCCCACCCAGCAACGCCCGGACCCGGAAAGTCGTCGCATGTGTCACCTCTTGTTGGGAGACTTCCAGTAGGATGTCAACAGTTGCCTCTCGAATGCTGCTGATTTCTATCTGTTTGGCCATGTTTGGGGCAACGCCCAGACTAGCGTCCCTTGAGACTTACCGGCCGTCCTGGAGTTATGTTAGGCTGCTTTGAACTCGGATTGCGGCGGAGTAGGGGGGATGTTGTTAATTATGATCATGATGATGTTGATGGTGATGGTGATGGTGATGGTGATAGTGATGGTGGTGATGCTAATAATGATGATGATGATGATGATGATGATGATGATGATGATGATGATGATGATGATGATGTTGATGCTGATGCTGATGCTGATGCTGATGCTGATGCTGATGATGATGATGATGATGATGGTGATGGTGATGGTGATGGTGATGGTGATGGTGATGGTGTTGGCGACGGTGATGATTATTATTAGGATGCTGCTGATGCTAATGATGCTGATGGTGATGATGCTGATGGTAATCATTGTGATGATGATGATGATGATGATGATGATGATGAGTTCAACGATGATGCTGATGTTGATGATGCTGATGATAACGATTATTGTGATTATGATTATGAAGCAGATCCTGATGGCGATGCTGTGGATGATGATGGTGACGATGATGGTGATGATGCTGATGCTGATGCTGATGCTGCTGCTGCTGCTGCTGATGATGATGATGATGATGATGATGATGATGATGATGATGATGATGGAGCATGTGTAAACTTATACGTGTGGGGGGTCGCATGTGGGCTAGCATAGGTGTCCGTGGGGTCGTCTCGGGGCGAAGCAGGAAGAAAGGAAACACGATGTGGGTGAGGAGGAAGGACATAACATGTGGCATCCAGCGCGAACCGTTACGTGGCCAGAAGAAGGGGCATCTCTCGAGCCAGCCAAGTCTTCTGAGTGGCGACCTTTCGAGCACCGCCCAGCAGGCCGACACATGTTACTCCTCTCGTTTCCACTTTTTGAGGAGTTCTCATGGGGTTTATTTGGGCGGTCTTTGGGCTGTCTGCGGCTCCTGTGGGGTAGTCTGGGGCGTCCCTTTGGGGTGTTCTTGGGCCATCTTGGGGCCCTCTGGGGCTGTCTTGGAGCTCTCTCTGGCGGCTTCAGGTCCTTCTGGCTGTCTGGTGCGCCTCCTGGAGCCGACTTTGGGGCCGACTTGAAACCCGCTGTTGCCGCAGTGGGCCCTGTGGAACTCTTGTGGGCCACTTTCGGGCTGTCTTGGGCCGTATAAGAGGCAGAAGCGGAGATTTCAGTGGGCCATTGGGGGCCTTTCAACAACGCAAGTTGACCAATCTTCGACCGAAGAGTTTGGAAAGCGAAAACCACAGAACAGCTGTGCGATCATCAATGCGTTTGGCCTCGCGAGGGGGTCGTGGAGAGCGTCTTGGAGATGCATCGGGGCCTCTTGCAGTCATCTTGAAACATTTTCGTCGCTTCTTGGGAGCTGCCAGGTGCCGCTTAAGGCAATGTTGGGCCGTCTTGGAGGCCTTTTGTGGGGTTGCTCTCCTCGGCTGTCTCGGAAGCCTCGGAGCGCCTTGGAGAGCGCCGCGGAGGCGTCGGACCGCCGAAGACCCCTTAAACGAGGGGCGGGCAATGCATGCAGCCCGGCGCTACAAAAGGCCGCAGAGGCACAGTGGCGCACCTTCCCACCGCACAGCAGGCACTGTGGCCTCCTCCACGAGGACCCACGCCTCCTTGACCTCCTGGCTTGCCTGTCGCGGGACCCGCTCCCACAGCCGGTCCCCCGGCGGGCCCCCGAGGACGAGGAAGGCGACCAGCTACGGCTGGTAGGGGGGCGGCCGCAGAAAATGACAGAAACTTAACCTGACAGCTGCTGGCGTTTCGCCTCAACGTGCCAGGGGTACGGTGGCGGATCTGCGCTCCAGCGGCGGCATATTTCACGATATGTTGATCCATGATTTTGACATGCTCAATTGGCTCAGTGGCGGCCAGGAGCCGGAGTCTGTAATGTCGGTGGGCCACGCCTACAATGAGGAGATCCAGAATATGAGGGACATTGACACAGTCGCTGTGATGCTGAAGTACCCGAGTGGCCTTCTCGCAATGGTGGATACGTGCCGCGACGCCGCGTACGGGTATGACCAGCGCATCGAGGCTTTCGGTGGCAAGGGAATGCTGACGGCCAACAACGAGACCACGAGCACGGTGGAGTTGGCCACTGCGAAAGGCTACTTGACCCCGTGTGCGAAGTGGAGCTTCCCCCAGCGTTACAAGGAGGCGTACACCACTGAACTCAATGAATTTATTGCAATGGTCCGTGCAGGGCGCAGCAGCGAGCAGCACAAGCTCGAGCAAGTGGCGATGTCGCGACACCCCAGCGTCGTACGCACCACCATCGCAGCCGAGCTGTCCTGGAAACTTGGCCGCTCCGTGGACTTGAAGGACTCGAGCCCTGGGCAACCAGAGCAGCCCCCTCCGAACCTTCCATCGGCTTGCGCGTCGGGCACCCTCCTCTGCCTGCCACTGCGCCTCCCGGTCTTTCCTCCCCCCGCTCCTCCGGAGGACATGGACCAGCTGCTGCCCCGGCTGCCGGGGACGGAGGGCGAGCCCGCAGGGAAGAGGCGGAGGACAGGTCGGGTCGACCACGACGACGACGACGACGACGATGACGACTACAGCGACAGCGACAGCGACAGCGACAGCGACGGCGTGGAGTTGAGGGGTGTAGAGTCACGAAAGACCTCCACATCTGTCATTCCACATCGACGATGCAGCGCGATCCTCCGACACCATCTACTCCGACCCCATTCGGGAGGCCTCTAGAGACTCCATCCAGGGAGCAGGGATGTGAAGGTCTTCGGGCGTTTTTTCTCGGATCGAGGATCTAGGATGGACTTCGGGCGGGGGTTTGTATACCGTAGTCGCTTCTCTTTTTCGGCCTCGGGGGGGAGTTCCCGCGCCCCACGGCCACCCGTATCCATCAATAGTGGTGGACCCGTGGCAGAAAATTGTCCCTGGGGCAGGTGTGGAGAATTTTCGGGGCCTGCGGAATGAACAGTCTGCATGATGGCTGGGAACTGCGACGGCAAGATGCTAGCTAGGGTCGAGGAGCCTGGGGCGAGGTATGCTGGGGCGCTCTCTCTTGCCTCCTGGGCTCCTGGTGACGGCCTCCTCGTTGCCACGGCCAGATGCCCCTCTCGTGACTGTGGTCAGGATGCATCCTGACCACAGGACAGAGTCTGGGATCGGCGGCGAGCGAGGGGGGGAAATGAGTGAGAAGGCGGCGAGGCTTCTCAGAAGACCTCAGGCCTTCTGAGATTTTTGTGTGCCTTCGGGAAAGGCTCAGACTGCTTCTCAGAAGGCCGGGGGACTTCCGAGCCTTCTGAGAAGGCTCGCCCCTTCTCACTTCCCCCCTCGCTTGCCGCCGATGGGAGGAACCTGTTTCTGAGCGAGCCGTGCTCATCGGGGCCCACGGAACGGAGGTCGGCGCTCATAGAGGTGCGCCCTCCGCTGACCCGGGCTTGGGAGCTATACAGCGGCTGGCCGGGCTTCGTGACAGGGCCCTGGCCGACCCAGGTGCGTGCTGCCCCAGGTGAGCGCGTGCCCGAGCTCAGACGTCCGGGCGTTCAGAAACCGAGGATGGGCACTATAGCACTCGGACGGTGGCCTGCCTTGGCTGAGGCAGGTCCAGGAAGATAGGAGCTATGAGACTAGGCCGCGGGCGCCCTGTTGGCGCGAGCCGCTCTTCTCAGCCCTGCCCCGTGCAGGGGAGGAAGCTGGGCAGTCGTGGGTGACCCACGGGGGCGCGAAGGCGAGGGCGCTTCGTCTCCTGGCCTGGGCCGCCGAGATGCCCGTCTCCAGGGTGGCGGCGTGAGGGGGCGACGGTAGTCGCGCACCGCGGGGCGTGATGCGCGAAGTCAGTGATCGTCTGAGCGCCCCGACCCCCAGAGTCGCTGTCTCTTCTCAACGTGGACAGCTCTGGCCTCGGCATGTTCTCCGGGGCGAGCGTTCGCCCAGAGTGGGTGCCTCGGCTGTTCCGGGCCCTTGTCATGAAGGGACCCCCGAGGCTGACAATCGCCAAAAGATCCTCCGCCTTGTTTTTTCGCGACGCCAGGGGGCCCGGGTCCGAGGGTCAAAACACGACCCGTCCGGGGGCGCGTTCTGACCAGATTTTCGAGGTGGGTCCAACCGTGACGACGAAGGCGCTCCACTCCAGGAGGCCCAACATGGGCGAGAGACCGCCAAGAATCTCGAGCCTCGGATCGGAGCCACCCCAGCATACGGGTACTACGTGTGCGTCGCCCACCCAGGGGCGAAACGCGCGCCGAGAAATCTTGTGGCGTATCTCGGTGGCGGGCGCTTCCTGTCTATCACAAGACGGTTGCACTGGGATGTCCAGGTCGGACGCGCGCCTCCGAGGATTGCAGATAGCACTGGTACGCCCGTCTGCGTCCCATCGAAGTTCGATCCTCGAGGTTCGATGCAGGCAGGCGGGGGCGGGCAGCGAGAGACGCCCGGGGAATGCCAACTGACCACCTTTCGACCCTGGCCTGGCCCATCCTGGGCCCAGGATCGGTGGCCATCGCCCTCCTCCCCTCCCTCCTCCTCCTTCTCCTTTTCCTCCTCCTCCTCCTCTTCCTCCTCCTCACCCTCCTCCTCCTCCTCCTCCTCCTCCTCCTTCCCCTCCTCCTCCTCATCCCCCGCCTCCTCCCCCTCCTCCTCCCTCGTCCTCGTCGTCGCCGCCCTCCTCCTCCTCCTCCTCCTCCTCCTCCTCCTCCTCCTCCTCCGGGAAGTCGCACAAAATCGCCAATCGAATTTGGATGGTAATGGACCACCTACACCGAGCATGGCCGGGCCGATCCTGGGCCCAGGTTCGGTGATCACCGCCCTCCTGGCTTGGCCAGGAAGGCAGAAGGAGGTGGTCAAGTTGACGCCCTCCCCTCGAGGCCCAGACCCCCGACGTCATGATGTATTTCCAGACCTCCTCGAGTCATTAAACAATCACGGCGGTCGGTTTTTCGCTATCTTCGGTTTCTGGGGGCCCTCACCGGGCCTCGGGACCGTCAAAATTGACTCAGGATGAAAAACAGGTCCTGGGGAAAAGGTCGAAACCTTCAAGGGGTCGACGTTGTTTGAACAAATCATGACAACCGGGGTCTGAGTTCACAACGTCGACCCCACAAGGTCTCGACCCATATTCCCTGGGGCCATTCTTTCATCCGGGCTTGTTTCCGTGACGATCCCGAGGCCTGGTAAGGGCCCCAGAGGCCGAAAAGGGCGAGGAACTGTCCGTCGTGAGTGGTTTTTGGAGGGGATTCGGCAGACGCCCTGCCGAGGACCGAGGGCGGCACCTCGCAGCTCGTCCTCGGCGCCTGATGGCCCGCCGGCCGCGTGAAGGCGCGCGCGAGGCTCGGCTTGGCTGGCGCTTGCGCCACCTCGGTCGGTCGCCTGTGGCGCCCCCCGCTGTTCGGGGAACCGCGAGTGGACCTGGACCTCTCGGAGCCGTGGGCAGGCGTCTGCGTCTTCCCAGACATCCGGCGTCTCGGATCGCAGCGGCGCTTCTGCATCGTCTCCGGCCTCTCGGGGCCCTGACCGGGCCTCGGGACCGTCAAGGAACAACTCGGGATGGAAAGCCAGTTCTGGGCAAGTGGTCTTGAGGCCGGGGGCCCGCGCGTCCCGAAGAGATCGAGACGCCGGATGTCTGGGCATCTGGCAGTCCTTCGGCCTCGGGGGTCGTGGACGGCCCCGGGGGCTGCCAGAGAGCGGCTCGCGAGACGGAACGTCGCCCCCTTCCCAGACCCCCGACGTTATTTTTTCATGACGTCGACCCCAAGAGGTCTCGACCCATTCCCTGTGCCGAGAATAGCGAAAAACCTTCCGGGCCCTTACCGGGCCCCCGGAGGCCGAGAATAGCGAAACACCTTCCGTCGTGATGTTCTCATGCCTCGAAGGGGTCGACGGGGCGACGGACAGTCGCCCCCTTTGGGGATGGGGTCCAGACCTCTGGGGGCCAGCGTCGTGAAGACGTCACGGCGGTCTGGGGCCTGCGTGCGGCGCCCCGACTCGGGGGGTGGCAGCGGACCTCGCGCATGCATCAGGGGCCTTCCGCGGTGTGGTGGCCACACCGCGTGGTGAGTCGGTGGGGTTTCGGGGTCACCGCACGGTTTGGGCACTCGGGCCGTTCTCCGGGGATGCCTCGGGCGACCGGGGACTCCGAGGTCCCAGAGCCGTGTGGTGACGCCTCTGCGGTGAGGTCTCTGCAGGTTCCGAGGTCACCGCAAGGGTCCGTTGCCACACGGCTCCGGGACCCCCGAGATATACACGCCGATCCTGGCCAGTCCAGTCCTCAGCCCATTCCCGGCTCGGCTGCACGCGTTGCCAGAGCGGCCTTTCGCCCGAGCGGGCTCAGGAGCGAGGTCACGCCCAAGCACGAGTGCCGTCGCGTCGCATGCAGCGATCGGCAAGCCGCGCACGAAAGGTCATTGCTCAGGACTCGAGTAGGGGAGCAACTGCAGAATTGATTTACCCCAAAAAGTGAGTTCCCGTCGGATCTGCGAAACAGTCGTGGAATGCTCCGTGGATCTACGGAACAGTCCTTATGTATTCTTGGCAGATTCGAAGGAAATGTCTGCAGTCGATCCCCCACTTGATTGGTTGGGGCCACTCCCTGCGTGTCGCCGATCGGTGCAGGTGCCCCCCCTGGCCAAGCCAAGGAGGGCGGTGGTCACCGATCCTGGTGCAAGGATCGGCCTGGGCAGGATTGGTGTAGGTGGTCCGATGCCACCCGAGTTCGAGAGGCGTTTTCTATCACGGCCAGGAGGAGGGGGGTGGCGACGACGAGGACGAGGGAGCAGTAGGAGGAGGAGGAGGAGGAGGAGGAGGAGGAGGAGGAGGAGGAGGAGGTGGAGGAGGAGGAGGGGGGGAGGAGGAGGAGGTCCTCGTCGTCGTGCTTGTCGTTCTCGTCCTTCATGCTGACTTCCTGATCCCTAAGAGGGGGAGAAGGATGATGAGAAGGTCAGCATGAAGAAAAGATGTCCGCTAGTCTTCGCCGTTTTGCATATTCCAGGGCCCTCTTCAGGCTCCAGAACCCTCGAACAACGGTCAGGATAACTGGTCCTTGTGGACTAATGGCGTCCCAGACCAAGTCGGCAATTGGTGTTCCGCGCTCCCCCACAGCTAAGTCTCCAGCATTTGGAAATTCACATGCAGGATTGCAGCTTAAACGCGACCGTCGGCACGAGCAGGACGACAACACCTCGATGGCCAGCCGCCCCTAAGGAGGGCAGAGGGAGGAGGGAGGAGGGGATGGAAGGGATGGAGGTGGGATGAGGGAGGAGGGAGGAGGGAAGAGGGAGGAGGGAGGAGGAAGAGGATGAGGGCGCATGAGGAGGAGGAGGAGGAGGAGGAGGAGGAGGAGGAGGAGGAGGAGAAGAAGGAGGAGGAGATGGAGGAGAAGGAGGAGGAGGAGGATGAGGAGGAGGAGGAGGAAGAGGAGGAGGAGGAGGAGGAGGAGGGGGAGGAGGAGGAGCATTCAGCACATCACGCCTCTGCTGATTGGCGCACCCCTAGCACGGCCGCCAGTCCCTCAGGCTCCGCCGCCGCCCAGCAGAACGCGGGGCGGCCAAGCCCACCCCGACGCCCGTGCGCCGGACAGCCAACGGGCCGTCGGGGCGCGGGCAAGCCACGGGAGCCGTGCGCGGCCCTCTGCAGCGCGCGCGTGCGCACGCCGCTGAGGGAGAGGCGCGCCTGGGCTCCTGGGGCGAATCGGGGGCGCGCGGGCAAGCAGCCCCAGCGGGGGGCTCGCGCCCCAGACCCCGCGGGGTCATGAAAAAGTCACGACGGAAGGTTCCCCAGTATTTTCCGCCTCTGGAGGCCCTCACCCGGTCTCGGGACCGTCTACAAAACTACTCGGGATGCAGAACCGGTCCTGGGGAATGGGTCGAGACCTCTGGGGGGCGACGTCATGAAAAATTCATTACGTCGGGGGTTGGGACGGGTGCGCCCAGCATGCTTGTTGCGAGGATGTCCTGGGCGAAGCCCTCGTTCAGAGGAGCAAGAGGTCATGAGAGTGATACGTTCCCAGATTCCTAATGATGCCAGCAGGTCGAAGATTTCCGAATGCTCCACACGGGCCGCAGAAACGAGGGTCGCTGGATGCTACCGGATCCTGAGGCAACCGTTTCATGATATAATGCTCGTCCTGCTCGTTTCGAGTGGCGCTGCCCAGTCTCCAGATTGGGGGGCAATCGCGCGTGCGTCGCGCTCTCTCGTCTGCTTGGTGGACACACAGTAGATAGTGTCAATCAGTGTTGTCATTATCGTTGTCGCCATCGCTTATGCCCCGCCCACACTGGCACTGGTTTTGGTCATGCTCGTGAAGAGCATGGCCAGAGTATCCACCTTGCGGACACTTGCTGCAACCACCCTGGCAAGAGTCAGCAACATGTCTGCAAATCGTGCAGCGATCTTCGTAGAAATTGCGGTCGATGTCCCTGGCACTATCAAAACAACCGCATGTGTAACTGGCTGGTGAGATCATATTGGAAGCAGGCTGCCCAACGTGGGCGGGGGTGGGTCGAGAAGCATGGCTCGGTGCTCACGGGGCTGAAGTACGGGTCCAGCACCCAGGGCTAGAAAGCTCCCCCGACCCTGCCACTCCCCACGCAGAGAGGAAGGTGGGAGGGGGAGGTGGGCGACATCTCTATGCAGAAGCAGCGGGGGAAGTGGAGGCAGGGGGAATGATGATGATGAGGAGGAGGAGGAGGAAGAGGAGGATGAGGATGATGATGAGGAGGAGGAGGAGGAAACGGAGGGCGAGCAGGTGCACGGTGACTGGAGTAGGCGACCCGACAGCGGAGGCCGAGGCCCCAGCACAGTGCCCAGTCTCAGGCCTTGCCGAAGGTGTTTGGAAGTCTTGCGGCGCAGCCACGAACGAGCGGCCAGTCGGAGGAAGAGGCGCATGAGGGTGAGTAGGGGATGGGGTGGGGGAGGAAGAGGTGGCAGGGGAGTAGATAGAGGCAGAGGAGGGGAAGGAGGAGGTGGAGGAGGAGGAGGAAGATGGAGAGGAGAACGGAGAGGGGGTGAAAGAGGAGGAGAGAAGGAGGAGTAAGATAAAGGATAGCAGGGAGGCTGGATGGGGGGCGGGGGGAAGGGGGCAGGAAGGGAACGAGGAGGGGGAGACAGAGGAGGAAGGCAAGAGGTGAGAATGGGCAGGGGATCTCGGCAGGCAGTGTTGGGCTGTAGGGGCGTGGCGCCATAGCGCAGGAGCCCTCAGCAGAAGTTTTTCTCGAATTGTCTTTCGATGCACTTGAAGTGCCGTTGGAATGCTGATAACCGCGTTTGAGTGGCCCCAGTAGCCTCTCTACATACGACTGGGAAGCTGCACGATCTACCAGACCACCTCCCCAGACCACCGACGTCGTCTTTTTTTGCAAGGCGTGGACCCCTGGAGGTCTGGAACCCTCTTCGAGGGAGTGATGTGATGTTCCATCACGAGCTGTTTGTGGGCGGTCCCGGAGCCCAGTACCGGCCCCAAGAGGCTGAAAACAGCGAAGCTTCAAGACGCGAGGGGGTCTGGGCCTTTCGTTAATTTTTTACCACGGTGCACTTCGGCCGAACGTACAGTCTCCGGAGCCGCCACTCGCGCTCCGGGCAGTACGGCAGGACCCCCTCGGCGCTGCCGTGGCGCCGTTCGCAGGGACCGCCGCGCCGGCCGTGCCGTTCATCAGTTCGCGGCGATGCTTGCCGAGCTTCCGCCAGCGCAGCTGTGTTCAGCGGGCGTTCGGTGAGGACGAGCCTTACGGAGGCTCGTAATGTTATCTCCCTTTGCCAGCTCTCCGCCAGGGTTGCCCTGCGATGCCTGGGCGATCCGACGCGTGTAGGGCTCGGCTCACCAGTCATCAAACCCCTTCGACGCTGCGCGCTGGAGGCATATCGTGCGCATCCGTTCCCACTTTCCTTCCTGGGTCGTTGACTGCTGCCACGGAGCAGTCACACACACACACACAACACACACACATCGACTAGACGTAAGAGTGACCTTTCGCCGGAGTGACCTTTGGTGCGGGCCCAAAGGGGTCCCCCGATCGCCGAACGCGAGGCGGCAACGGCGTTTTGCGCGCTTGTGTTTGCCCCCCCCACCCCCCCCCGCGTCCCCCCAAAAGCCGCACACCACAGGTCACCCTTACCCAGTGTCACTCTCTTGCGGGTAGTCGAACACACAACACACATACACACGCACACATACACGCACACGTGCACACGCAAACACAACACGACAGACATACAGCATGAACGCGTACCCGCCGGACGCGGGGATGCGAAAACAAGCCACGCCTGGCGTGGGGATGCTGGTGACGTCCTGTGCCAGCCCTCCGCATCCCCCACGCCTGTGCGTTCTCCCTGCAGCCGTTTCCGCTCCGGCGCGGGGGGTGGCTCCTCCAGTGCAGCGCGGCCTGGCGGCCCGATGTCGGCGCCGGCCCCGCCCCCCGGCGGGAGCCACGGCGACGCCCGCGGCGCTGCGCCGCCCGGCGCGAGGCCATGTCCGCTGTGGGAGGCGGCGAGCCCGGCTTCGGCGACGCGACCCTGGAGCCGCGCCGCAAGAGCGTCAGGTTCGCTGACAGCACGCCTTCCGGAGACCACGCCGACGTTCCGCGCGCCGCCACGGAGCTCGGCCGTCGTCGTCGTCGTCGTCGTCGTCGTCGTCGTCGCCGTCGTCGTCGTCGTCGTCGTCGTCGTCGTCGTCGTCGCTGTCGCCGTCGCCGTCGCTGTCGTTGCCGTCGCCGTCGTCGCCGTCGTCGCCGTCGTCGTCGTCGTCGTCGTCGTCGCCGTCGTCGTCGCCGTCGCCGCCGTATTTGTCGCCGTCGCCAAGGGGGTGGGGGCACCCTCGGCGGAGGTCGGCCGAGTGGCCTCTGGTGCGCGGCCTTCGGTGGGGCGCGGGGGTCCACCCCCTCCTCCTCCTCCTCCTCCTCCTCCTCCTCCTCCTCCTCCTCCTCCTCCTCCTCCTCCTCCTCCGCCTCCCCGCCTCCTCCTCCTCCCCTCCTCCTCCCCCGCCTGCTCCTCCTCCTCCTCCTCCTCCTCCTCTCCTCCTCCTCCTCCTCCTCATCATCATCATCATCCTCATCATCATCATCATCATCATCATCATCATCATCATCATCATCATCATCATCATCATCATCGCAAGCAGACGCGAAAGGTGGAAGGCAGGAAAGAGCGGCCGCTACTGTCGCATCGCATACGACCGGTAAGCCGCCCAGGGTCACTTTTCGCGTGCAACCGAGGTTCGAGGTTAGCACTTCGTACTTGTCAGAGCAGTTCTAGGCCATAGGACATAGGATTGAGTATATGCCCGCCCGGCCGAGGCCAGGCAGGCGTGTACGCTATCCCAGGGCCCAAGATGGCCTTGGCCAGGCACAGTGGTGGTGCAATTACAGGTTGCAAGTCGTAGGTGCCTTCCGCGTGCATCCATGATCCGAGGGCCTGGGACCGCCAGGAATAGTCGCGGATGCGGGGAGTGGGGCAGTGCCAGCACAGCCGACCGATGGGGGGGGGGTCCTCGGGGGCGTTGGTGGCGGTTCGTGGTGGTATTATCGATGCATGGCGAGGGACCCCCATTGTCAGGGTGTGGAAATCACTGGAGCGCTCGCCCTTCCTTGCCCATGGGCTTCTCCCGAGCTTTCCGCCAGCGAAGGGGCCCCTGGACTCGGCGCTGCTGCGGGCCGACCTGTTCGAGGTCATCAACACAGACAACGACGGCTTCATCACGCGCGACGAGCTGCTGCGCTTTCAGCTGGACCAGTGGCGCCAGCGGCTGCAGCCTCTGGTCGAGGTGGAGCTGTCCCGGGAGATGGTGCGTGGCCTGCGGGAGGCCGACGAGGCCCAGAGGCGCGAGCTCGCGGCGCTGCGAGATCGACTCGCGGACGCGCCGCAGCTGTTGCAGCGGGCCAAGGACATCGGGCCCAGACTCCCTCGAGTCACACAACAAATCGCGACGGATGTTTTTTTTTTTTTTTTGCAATTTTCGGCCATGGGGGACCCTTACCGTGCCTCGGGACCGTCAAAACACAACTCAGGATGAACAACAAGTCCCGTGGAATGGGTCGAGACCGGTGACAAAAATCATGACGTCGGGGGCCTGGGGGGCGGCGAAGGTCAAGTCTCTTCTTTCTCTCAGGGCTCACAGGAGCAGGATTCTGCATAACCAGGACTTTGATAGGTCCAGCTGGAGAAGGCGATGAAGGAAGGATGTTTCGATGATCAGTGTCAAAGTCAAAATTCTCGCCTCTTGGAGGCAAACTGGAGCGGGGGGGGGGCCGAAGTGTTGGGGATTTTCTATCGCCTTGGTTTCGCGATCTTGCGCGGGGGTCAAGGCTACTGAGTCGATCGGCCAGTGCTATTTTGGCTCAAGCCGCATCAGGAGACCTCGACAATTCGGCTCCAGGGTAGGGCAGGCCACCTGCTGCCTCTCTATTCGCCACAGGCGCTCGGCGACAAACCGCCTCATCCAAGACAAGGCGCACGAAGCCGTGAAGCTGAGCGTGGGCGAGGTGACAGAGGGGCGGCCGCTATACCGCCGAGTTCCATTCCTGTGCTCAGGCAGGACACATCCACGGGCGAGGCGAGAGCGAGTAGTGCTTGAATTGGCTGCTGCACGGAAAGGGCATGCTCACCTTGCCGAAGCGGGGGTCGCCCGGAAACCCCGAGAGGGCCCACGGGGGCGCCTGGAAGGGGCCAGCTGCCAGTCTCATCACTGCCTGCACCAAGCCTGGCGAGCTCTGGGCCCGAGACCTCTCGGCCAGACAATCTTGAATCCTGACGCCCTGGCAGCGAAGAAGCCCCTCGCTCGGCCAGGGGAGGACCATAGGACTGAGCGACCTCTGAGCGCTCCTCGGCGGCCGAGCCTCCCCGCCCGTCAGATCACAGCCTTCCGTCTCCGGACATCTGGCGGACTGATGCCCTTGGGGACATGGCCCCCCCGACTTCTCGACACCTTCGCTGCAGAGGCGGCGCCTGCCCGAGCATGGCCTATCCAGGGGTCCAGGCTGGTGAAGAAGCCGGTCGGCTCGACTCGGTTCGAGCCGCCAGGTGCTCGGGGACGTCGCAGAACCCTCCGCAGGGCCCCCAGATGGATCCCCCCGGTCACCGGCGGGGGCGCGAACGCGTAACGCGCTCTGCGCGCCGCAGCCTGGGCTGGAGAGCTGCCCTCATCCATGGCGTCGGCGCAAGGCCGCGAAGATGACTGCGCGGCCCGCATCGCGGGGCGTGGCGCGCAAAGTTGGCCTCGGAGGCTGATAGACCGCCCCATCCTGCCAAGTCGATTGGGCGACTTTACACCCCTCCCAGTTCCCGAGAGGGCGTTGTGGCCACAGCTCTTGCGGGCCCTGCGCCCGGTGGGCCTGGTCCCAGGTCGGTCTCACCGAAGCGCGCCTCTGCCAAAGGGGGGCCGTATCCACCCCCGACGTGGCGACCTCGAGGCCCAGACCCCCGACGCGATGATTTGCCACGACGACGACCCCCAACGGGTCTGGGCCCATTCCCCGGGACCAGTTTTCCATCCTGAGTCGTTTTTTGGCGGTCCCGAGGCCCGGTGAGAGCCCCAGAGGCCGAAAATTCAGAAAAGCCATCCGCCGTGAATTCTGCAGGACTCCGGGGGGTCTGGTGGGTCCTGCCCGCGTGGAGCCGCAGAGCTGTAGAGCGGTCTCGGGGCCCCGGCTCCCGAGGAGGCCGCGGAGCGCGCGGAGCAGGTGCGCCTGGTGGAGCGCCAGCTGCAGGAGAAGCGCCTCGTGGCCGGGGAGGCCTTCGAGCACGCGCGGCGGCCGGGGCGCACGCGACGGGGGTTCGGCCCTATAACGGGGGTCAGCCCACCGGGCCCTCCTAGGCGGATCAGGTGATCCCCCAGACTCTCTCGAGTCATGCAGTGTTCACCACGGAAGGGTTTTCCCCATTTTCGGTATTTGCGGGCCCTCACCGGGCCTCGGGACCGTCAAAACACAATTCAGGGTGAAAAACAGACGCTGGAGAATAGGTCGAAACCTCCAGGGATCGACGTCATGAAAAAATCATGACGTCCGGAGTCTGGGTCTGTTCAGTCCCAGCGTTTTCTTTGCATTTTGCCTTCCGGGGGCCGTCTCTGGCCCCGGGGTCACCTGAGTCCGGAAGGAGCAACTGCCTTCGGGGAAAGGGTCGGAAGGTCTGGGGCCACGAATCGGACAGATCACACCGTCGGATGTCTGGGAAGTCCCCTCTGACGTCCTCTGGCTGACTTGGGTTCGTGGGCCACGAGAAGTCAACACGTGCTCTCTCTTCGCTGACTCGGGCTTGGGAGCATCTATGTGGCTGGTTTGATCAGAACGCTTGTGGGTGTCCATGTGTCAGAATGCTTCATGGCTTCTGGCGCATTCAGTGCACAGGGGCTCCCCACGCAAACAAACAGAAGGCTATATAAGTGTTCTTGTCGTTGGGCACGGCATTGCTGTCTGGTGCCAAGCGCACTGTTGCCAAGGCGTGCAGTTGTGTCAGCAAGCCCGCTGCATTTAAGCATATAAGTATCCGAAGGATAAGAAACAACTTATACATCCTATACGATCATTCTTAGGGTGATAAGGAGGTTGTAGGGGGGGAGGGGGGGAACCAACATCTAACTCAATCGATCTCACTATCGATCTCACTCAACGGGACACCACGGGACACCACGGGACACCACGGGACATCGCGGGAAATCTATCGATCTCACTATCGGTCTCACTATCGATCTCACTATCGATCTCACTCAACGGGGCACCATTGGACACCTCGGGACACCTCGGGACACCACATCGATCTCGCTATCGATCTGATTATCGATCTCACTCAGCGGGACACCACGGGACACCACGGGGCCACCGCCGGACGGGCGGGAGGGGGAAAATCATTTGTTTTGATTCGCCCTAGCAATGGCCGGGTTCATTCCTCTTGCGCGCCCACGCAGCTTCGCCTCGCCCGCACGCACGACACGAAAGAAACGAAACGATCTCTCGGTTGTGGGTCTCCGTTCCACTTCGATCTCATCCCCCAACCTCCGATACGTATATATAAACAAATATATATATATATATATATACATATACATATATATACGTATATATAATATCAGTAATGGCGAATGAACAGAGATCAGTTCTGCATGGGAAGTTGGGCCCCGGCCGACTCGGGTTAGCGCTGCCCGAGGCGGCAAGCGCGGCGCCTGCGCCAGGAGGTGGAGACGCTGGAGATCATGGACTACCAAAAGACAGCATGAAAGAGCATACGGTGGGGAACGTTGACGTAGCGTGTCGCGCCGCCGGTTCTGGCCCACAGAGCTTCGGCGCGACACGCGATCCACATTCTCACCCCAAAGCGTCAACGTCCCGAGTTGTTTCCAGCCTCCCGCCCCGAGGAGCGGAGCGACACGCTAGCCGCTTCTGCAAGGCATATCGTGTCGCGGGGGCCGCCACCGCGATACGCTAAGCAAAAGTTCCCGACCGTAGCTTTCGCAGGCCTGCACGGATCCCTCGGGTTGGCGCCCTTCCCTCTCCCTCGGTGGTTCAGAGATGGGGCCCTGAGGGCTGGGGGCCTAAGGATAGGAAGGGATCCAGGGGTGGGTTTACGTTGTCGGAGGCACCTCGCCCTTAGGACCCCGTCCCTCAAGACCCCACCTTTGAACCACCGACTCCCGGCACCCCTGGCCGGCGCCTCCGGCGCCGCCCCTGGCGCGCACCGCGGGTGGAGAAATGGGGGGGTCCCGCGTCGGACCTCCGGCGGCTTTGCGCGTCTCCTGCCAGAGGGGCCGGCCAAGTCGCCCTCCCGGCTGCTCCTCTCCACCGCTCCCCTGCGAACCTCTGCCCACGTGGGGCCAGAGCTGGGCCAACTTGTTGGGATGTGTGCTCCCAGCCGTTGTGGAAACCCCTGGGGGGGAGGAAGAGAGGGGAGGAGGAGATGGAGGGAGGAGAAGTGGGCGCATGAGACAGGAGGCTTCTTCGGAGACTCTTGGGCCCTCTTGAGGCTTCCAGGGGACTTACCGGGGGCCTCTTGCCTCTCGGGGCCCCTTTGGGACCTCTTGGGGGCCTCTGGGGGCCTTGAGGGACCACTTGGCCTTCGGAGGTCTTCTTGCGGGCCTCTCTGGGCCAGCTTGGGGTGGTGCCCTCTTTTGGAGCTGTAGGGCCGTCTTGGAGACCTGTGGGGTCGTCTTGGGGCCGTCCTGAGGAACTCTTGAACCGTCTTGGGGCCCTCCTAGAACGCAAAAAATAGATTGAACAGCGAATGGAAAGTCAATGATTCTGACCTCCTGGAGGTTCTGTTGGAGCCCGCCTGGGGCGTCTTGGGGGAGTCTTGGGAAGTCTGAAGGGCATCTTGGGCTGTCTTGGAGTCGTCTTGGATTGTCTTGGTGACATATTGGGCCCTCTTGGAGCCATGTTGGCCGTCTATTTGCGTCGTGGGACAGTCTGGGATGCCATCTGGGGCCAACTTGGCCGTCTTGGAGGAGCTATTGGAGCTATTTTGGGCGGGAGAGGCGAGGGTAGCCGGTCTTTCTTCAAGCTTCCAGATGGCCGGATCGGCCGAGACCCCACTGGGAACTTTCTGGAAGCGCAGAAAATGGCAGCAATCCGACTCGACCAGCATCCCTCTGCACGCATGAAGGGGCGCTAGATCCAGCTAGTGGTCTTCGGCCCATCCCGCCACCGTCCCTGGTGGTCTGCCAGGCTTGCATCACCTTATTCTGATTCAGCGTGCGCTTCACATCCCAGGGTGCCAGTTTTCTTGCTCACCATGCAGTTTAATCACTGTTTGGCCGCTTGCTGCATTCTCTCTTTACTTACTCACTGTTCGGCCCATCCCGCCACCGTCCCCGGGTCGTGGACAGCAGGCCTGTCAGATGTTTCTTGGGAGCCCCTTGCGGCTCTTCTCGGGGACCTCCGGCGGCCTCTCAGGGGGTTTTCTTGGGGGTCTCTGTGGTTTCGTCTTGGGGTTCTCGGGCCCTGGGGCCGTCTCGAAGGCCTCGTGGGCCCCTCTTGGGAGCCTCGGAGTGCGCCTTGGAACGATCTTGGGGGCCTGCTTGGTCTTGGGCGCCTTAAAAAAATAGAAGATGCAGGACAGGAAGGAACGCTACATCTTTGTACGCACGTGCTTTTTTTGTTCTTTCTTTTGACGATTCGTGCCTCTGGGACAGGCCTCAGGGTCTCCAAGGCAGCCCAAGAGGACCCCAAGAGAGTCCCAGGACGGGATCTTGGGAGGATCTTAGGGCATGTGGGACGTGTGTGCTTCCAACCACGCTCCCGATCTGGAGAACCCACGCGCCGCACCCTAAGGGCGCGCGAGAACACCGTGGCGCCCCTCAAGCGTACTTTCAATATTGACGACTGTTGGCGGGGACCTGAGAGTATTCCACTCAGTGCCTACCCCGCGTGGCAGAGTCTCAAATTTCCTGTCCTTGCCATGAGCGTCAAGATCGGTTGCCTCGTTTGGCCCCAGGAGGGCCGGTGCGCTGCCGACGAGAGGCGTGCGGAACTGCTCGCCGGCGCGCTGGAGCGGGTGCGCGACCGAGCGACCCAGCGGGGCCTCGGGTCGGTAGCGTCCCTGACGGTCGAGCTGGAGGGCCTCGGCAGCCTGGACACGCCACAGCTCAAAGAGCTGGTCCGCCTCCTCCTCGTCTCGGCCAGGAGGGTGCTCGGTGCGCCCGAGGCGGTGACGGGCTGCGGGGCCATTGGGCCAGACAACGACGAAGATGCCGTGGCCGTGTACTTCTGCCATCCAGGGCCTCTGCGCTCCTCGCTGGAGCTTGTCGACAGGATGAGGCACAACCTCGCGCAGGCCAGGAAGGAGGGAACGCTCTCGAGCACCCTGGAGGGCGGCCTCAGCGAGCTGCGGAACCCGGGCCTAGCAGTGGCAGGCGTGTCCCAGCTGGCCGTCCACGACAGCGTGGAGGTCACCATCCCGGAGGGGCTCGGCGTGGAAGACATCGGCTGCGAGCTGCTTGGCGAGCCGCCCGACGCGGTCTTCGTGAGCGGCGACGTCCGCTTCCAGGGCTGGGCAGACCGGGCTGGCCTGGCGGCTGGCGATCTGGTCCTGCTGGCCGACGGGGGTCCCCTGTGCGCGCTCGAGCCCCCTCAGCTCCAGGCTTCCCGCCGGAGTAATTACGTCCACAACCGCCGCCTCGGAGCCGTGCCCTGCGACCTCGAGGGAATGGTGCATGCGGGTGCCTGCCTCCGCCTTTCCCGCGGGGCGGGGGAGGCGTCCACCTCCTCCCAGGGCCCACGGGGGCAGAGCCCCGGAAGCTGCGGGTGTCGACGCCTCCCCGGCGCAGCTCCACCCCCAGACCCCTGACGTCGTGATTTGTTGTGCCCCTTCCTGGGGACCGGTTTCTCATCTCGAATCATCTTTTGAGGGTCCCCGGGCGCGGTGAGGGCCCCGAAAGACCGAACATCGCCAAAAACCTCGCGTTGTGATCTTTCGCGATGGCAGGGGGTCTGGGCTCCACCAGGGCGCCCTGCAGCGCACGCGGCCGCTGAGCCTGCTCGCCTGCAGGCCGGCCGGGCAGCGGTCGGCGGCCGCGCTGGAGGACAGGGCGGCCGCGAGGCTCCAGGCCGCCTGGAGGCAGCGGCAGGCGCGCGCCGAGGCTCGCGCCGGGCGGGGACAGCTGGCCGCGCAGCAGCAGGAGCGGAGGCTGGAGCACGAGAGGAGGAACCAGGACTGGGTCGTGGCGCTGCTCGCCCCTCGTGCCGCTGCTGCCGCTGGCCGCCGCCACGGCCTCTCCAATGAGGCCCCACCCCCACTTCTGGCGAGGCTCCAGTTGCAGGAGCCCCGTGTGCGTCTCTCCCCCCGGGGAGAGGTCCATGGAGGGCTCCCGTACCTGCGGATCCGCCAGGGCTCCCATCCGCGAGTTCGCAGGGTCCCCCCCTCCCCCCTCCCCTCCTTCGGGGGAGGGGGGCGTGTGCCACCAGGGCGGGTGACGTTCCTCGCCCCCTCCCCCCGCCTCGCGCCGCCGCCGCCCATGCAGTCCCCCCCGTCGCCAGCGCCGGCGGTCCCCGTCGCCAGCGTCGGTTGCCGTTCTGCGCGGCGCGGCCGCTGGCCGTCCGTGTCGGGTACCGTCGTGGGGCGTCACGCCGTGGTGGTCGCCGTAGCCGTCGCCCGCGGCGTCGTCGCTGTCGCTGTCGCCGTGGTCGCCGTGGTCGCCGTGGCCGTGGCCGCCGTCGCCGTCGGTGTCGTCGTCGTCCTGCTCCCCCTTCCGTTTCCCAGGAGCCAGGAGCTAGGGGAGGGCGCGTGCCTCCGCACGCCCATTCTGGGCCAGGTTTTCGGCGCATGCGCTCTCCAGGCCGGGTTTGGAGGAGAGGGAGGAGGAGGAGCAGGAGAAGGTTCTTGGGTCGATGAGAAGGAGGAGGAGGAGGAGGAGGAGGAGGAGGACGACGACGACGACGACGACGACGACGACGACGGGGAGGAGCAGGAAGGGGCGGGGAGAAGCAGGGTGAGGAGAAGGAGGAGGACCAGGAGGAAGGAGACGAGGACTATGATGACAGTAGAAACAGGAGGACGAGGTGCAGGGGGGAGATGGAAGAGACGGACAGAGGATGAGAGAGCGCACCTGTTCGGACAAGTGTATGTCCTGGCCAGCCGGATACAAGCGTCGGCTGGGCCATCCTCACTCTGGCGGGAGGTGCCGCATGTGAAAAGCAAGGGTGGCGAAAACCTCCAACGTTACGCGATCGAAAAGCAGAAGCGGGATGCGATGATACAGGCGGGACGCCGCCCCTTCTGCAACCCCAGAAAAAGAGAGCCAACGCGCTTTAACGTGCGCGCCACTGAGCCCTGAGAAGAGAAGGCGCCGCATTGGGGCATCCCTCTCGGCGGCCCAGCGCCAGGTCTACAGGGCAGTTAGCCAGGAGTTCTCGCAGGGCACGAAAGACTGAATGGAGGACGCTATCGCTTGTGTGCTTGCGGTGAGCAGCAAGTCGCGCCGGATGATGCTCCTTGAAAGTGGCCCCAGGGAAAGTGAGCGTGCGGAAGGCCTGTCGGGGTGCATTCCATGCGGATTGTCAGTTGGGATCCGTCGAGAAGGGGCCTGGCGTGAGCGTGAGCGCGAGGCCAGAGGCACGTTGTTGCAGCGCTGTGATGCTTGTGGTAAGGGCGGCTTCGCGATCCTGGTGGGGATGCGGCCTGGCCGTAGTGAGGCGTTGCGTGACAGTACGCATCCTATCGGTACGCTGCGCTGGCGCCGCTCAGGCGCCTGCACCATGTTGGGTGGTACAAGGGCCCATGATCTCTGTTACCTGGTGGGGCGGGGAATATGCGTGGTGGCAGGAAGCGTTGCGTTGGGGGCTGGGTGTGCGACGCGCAAACTGCTGGCGACGGTGCTGGCTCCGGGGACACAGCCCGCGACCCCTCGCCTACCATGCTCAGGTCTTCTCCCAGGCGGCTGGCCACGCTGCCGCGGGTATGCCATGGGACGTGGCTGCCTGCGTCGGTGGGGCCGGTAGGGGCAGTATTGTCGCCCATGTGGTCCGCCCCTGTGTCGCCGCACGTGGGTCGCAGAGGGGTGCCCAAGGTAGGGTTTGGGTCCTTCACCTCCTGGCTCACCAGTGTCGTGTGCCTGATTGGACGCGGAGGTAGAGTATCGCTGTCCGCGTCGTGACCGTCGCTGTCGTGACAACACTCGCCGTTGTCGAGGGCCGCCCCGAGGCCGAGAGGGTCATCTTCCTCGCCTTTGTAGTTGTCAGGAGGGGTGCCCCGTGGATCTTTAAGGTCATCACAGTACCCTGGCCCTCTTGGGCCTTGGGAGTGGGGTGGATCGCCTGGTGGGCCTCGTGGCTCTTCCCCGCCGCCCCTCGTATTGAGAGGGTTGGGTTGCATCCGGCGGAGTTGCGACCTGGAGTACCCAGCTTGTTCGTCGGGGCAGGGAGGGGTGTGGTGCTGATGGTCATACATAGCGACCGCAGCACGGTGCAGGACCGCATCCACTTTGTGTCGCCTGCGCATCGATGACATCCTGTAGTGTGGAGTGCATGCGGGCTCCTGCTGTTGCCAGCTCGTCGGCGTGATAATCGGAGGTCTCGGCGATGGGTGAGATGCGGTTTTCGTTGATCCCTTGTTCCCCGAGGTGGCGTTCGATGTTGAAAACCCTGATCATGTCGGGTTTGGCTTGGACCACCAAATGGATTATTTCCCCAAGGTCGGCCTGTGAGCCCTTGGCTTGCGGGGGATTGTCTCCGAGGAGAAATTCGAACCCGTCGACGCTGGCTTAGTTGTTAGCGAGGATGTGGAGACGGGCATCTCAGCCTTGGCGGCGGGGTGAAGTAATGCCAGGGTTTCAGCGCGCTGTGCTGACTGCGCCAGTCTGTGACTTCAGGCTGAGTGGTGTAGTCGGTGCTCTGGTCCGTAGTACATGCCGAATCCTGCTGTGGCGAGGAGGTGATGGGCTTGTTGCGAGCACGATCCGTCGGTGGCTAATTCCCGTGGTGGGGTCGGCGCAGTCCTCGAAATTGTCCTCATCCTGACCTCCTCGTGGCGATCTGTGGATGTGCTGTGGGAATTCGTCTCGGTCGAGGTCAGCTTGCAGCTCGAGGAGTTTAGCGTCTTCGTCGAGGAGGCTGCAGTGCCGCCGTGTGTGTGTGTGTGTGTGACGGGAGGTCTCCGCCCTGTTCCTCGGAATGGCCAGGGCCCTTCGTTCGTCGGCCCCGCGCTGACATCTCCAGACGGCGTGCTCCTGCGGCTCCTCTTCCCAGCTACACCGCCGGCGCAGCGGGGGCGGGTCGGCGGAGATTCCCGCCCGCTCGTTCCCCTGCCGGGCGCGGCCCCCACCGCAGAGGCAGTTGCACGGGAGACCGAGTCGTCGTTGGGCGCATTGGGCTTTGCCCTTGGCTCTGTAGAGCCAGGCGCTGGTAAAGCGGCCGAGGCCTTCTTCAACGGCCGCCACCGCCCCGAGGTCGTGTCCGGTGACGGGGCTCGGACGGGGGAAGGCGCGCTTCTGCGATGCCCTGAGCACATGCGCGAACATCCCGATGGGCAGGCACAGCCATGATAGGCACGTGCCCCAGTCGTCGCGCATCGTGCCGCAGGCCGGCCAGTTCCATTCCAGTTGGGCGATGGTCTGTCAGGCTCTGCCTATGGGGCCGCCTCCTTGGGAGGTTTCCGCGCGATAACGGACCGCATCAGCTTTGGCGTTGAGACTGGCGTCTTGCCGCACCTGCTCGCGTAGCCCGAGAAGGGCCTGACTCTGCGCGATGGCGTCGATTTCCAGGGCGCGGCCAGGGGGGTCGGATGGCGGCGAACAGCGCGTCGTCACAGGGGTTCCGAGCATTCGCGCCAGCCGCTTGAATGTCGGCGCCAGTGGCGCGCGTGCTTGCCGCAATGGACCTTGCGGAAAGGGCTCTCGCGTAGGTGCATTCGTGGAGGCGCCCGATTCGGGGGGGCGCATGGTCGCGGCGCGACGGACTCGGGCGGCTGCAGTGGCGGGGAGGTTGAGGTCCGTTCCCTCAGCCGTTGACGACGCGTTGGCGCAGCTCCCCACAGGCTTCACCTGGCGGTGAGCTCTGCGAGGTTGGCCACGGGGGGTTAGGGCTGACACCTGGTGGTGGAGCTTTTCCACGACGGCCCAACCCACCGTTTCGCCTGGGCGGATTCTCTCGGGCTCACGAGGCGATCGAATACGACGGCTTCTTCAAGCGATGCTGCTAGTTCCCTAGCCGTGCGTGGTTGCTGCCGCCAACGATGGAGTGTAGCGCGAGCCCGCGCTGTCGGTTTGTTCCAAGCGCACACGAGAAGTTCTCTGTAGTCGAGGGCGAAGGAGCTGTCTTGTAGCAGACCGTTGGCACGCGCCCAGGGTCTTGAGTAGGCCCCACCCAGGCGGATATATCGTTGATGGTTGGCGTTGAAGGATCCCCTGACTTGGGCGATGCCTGGTGGACACCCTGCGCTGAGTGCGAGGTTGAGACAGACGTCGGCGGCGAGGAAGTCGAAACATTTACGCCTATCGAGCGCCGCCCCCGCCGGCGTGCTCTACCTGCGGGCAAGCGTAGTGCTGACGTCGCTGAGAGAGGCGCGCGTGGCCACCCCGAAACTGGCAGGGCGGCCCTGGTGCGTTCTCCATGTCGCGAGTCTGCGGCAGGCTGGTGCCTCCCTTGCATGCACCTACATGGGCATGGCAGGCGCGGGTCTGGAATTTGAGGGAGTGATTCTGGCACCTCCCCAGCGCTCTCTTTTTCCTTCGCAGCGCTTGGGCGAACAGACGTAGGGTCCCGACTGGGAGAGTTTTAGCCTCCTCTGCAGGTCATCCATGCATGCCCCCCGCTCCGATTGCAGGGCGGGCGCGGATGAAGGGGGGCTTCGTCGGCGAGGACAGGGCTGGGCAGGGGCAGTGTCGGAGAGTTCCTGGTGGCAGTCCTCCTGAAAGGCCTGCCACGCAAGGATTGCTTCGTCTGTCCTAGCGCCGGTGAAGCGTCATCTCGAAAGTGCTGGTTCCCAGGTGTCCGCTGTGAGTTTGAGCATGGCATGCGTGTCGGCGAGGATGTCATTCGGTTTATTCAGGGAGACAGGGGCCTGGTAGTCCAAGTCCACCGAGCTGTGAGAGGCAGATTCGGAACAGGACGTCGGCGGAGGTATTGTCATTGTGTGATGGTGGGTCTGGTGACCTGACATTTGACACTGAGGTGTCTTGTGCCTGTAGGGTATCATCTTCAGTCCCTTCATCCCAGCGACGGCAGGTCCGAGTGCCTGGTGGCGCGTGTGGGGGGTGGGGGGCGTTGTATGTCGCGCGCAGGTACCAGACGTTGGACTTGTCAGCAGCTTTGACCCATTGGCTTTGGACAGTGCCACCGCCTGTCGCTGGCATTCGGATGCGCCATGGCGACCATGTCGCGTTAGCTGCACATTTCGTGCTCGGCTTTGGTGGGTGCTATGTGCTATGAGTCTCTTCAGCTGGAGAGGATGAGAGAGGAGAAGGAGGAGGAGGAGGAGGAGGAGGAAGCAAAGCAGTATCTCCACTTATTCCTCCTTTACCCCGTCGGAGATTTCGGAAGCTCTAGAACAAGGGAAACAGACCCACGAGACTTACATATGGAGTTTCCGGAGGCTCGTGGGAGGTCCCCGAAGGTTTTCGGAGGCTCTCAGCGGTCTTCGGCCAGTGAAACAGACTTTGTTTGATCTGGTTAATACTCTGACGAATTCGGAGTTCTTCGGGTGTGCTCTGCCGAGCCGTCGGAAGGTTTGAGAAATTGCAGTCGGAGCCGTCGCTGTCGGTTTCGTCCCGTCTTTGTCACTCTGGGCGGTTCACGATCCAGCCGGCTCTGTGATGCGTGCCAGTGCCCGCGCGTTGTCATTTCGATCGCGCACCTCCAAGGGCGGGCAGTTTCGTTCCACAACGGTTTTGGCTCCATACGGTTGGTTTAGTGGTAGTTGGAGGGTCATGGCCCTCCTGGAGGCGACACGGGCGTCGGAGGCGTCTGGATGGCTGTTCTCTGGCCTTCGATTTGGCGGCTCAGCTGCAATTCCTGGAAATTTATATTCAGCATCGGTGATGGTATTTTCCTCGTTCTGTTCCAGCCTGCTCTGGCCCACAGTGCAGTCAGGTCCGGCGCAATCTGGCAAAAAAACACCCTCCATTGGGTTACCCCGCAGAGGCGCCCCCTTTCTCCCCCTTGGTCCGGTTTCGCATCGTCTGCGAAGGCCTCCTCGGAGCTGCCTCCCTGAGGGAGAGGGCTTCAGAGAGCGGCCCGTGTCAGGAGCAGCGGGAGCGTGACCAGCGGCACCGCCAGCGTCTGGAGCAGCGGCGCCAACGGGGAGGAGGAGGAGGAGGAGCAAGAGGAGGAGGAGGAGGAGGAGGAGGAGGAGGAGGAGGAGGAGGAGGAGGAGGAGGCGGAGGAGGACGAGGAGGAGGAGGACGACGACGAGGAGGACGAGGAGGAGGCGAAGGAGGAGGAGGAGGAGGAGGAGGAGGAGGAAGGAAGGAAGGGAGGGAGGGAAAAGGAGGGAAAGAACGAGGAGGGGGAGAGGGGAGGGAGGGGAGAGGAGGGGGAGAGGAAGGGAGGAGGAGGAGGAGGGGGACTGGGACTCCAGGGGGGGGGTCGGGGTGGTGGCGGAGCTCGGCGGGGCGTCGCTCCGCCTCGGAGGGGGGGGTGCGCTGCTCGGGCCCGACTGTGAGAGATGCCGCCAGGCGGAGGCGAGGGCCTGGGTTTGGGGCGGTTCGCGACGAGGGAGGCCTGGTTTTTGTTGCAATCCTTCGGTTTTTGTTGCAATCCTTCGGTTTTTGTTGCAATCCTTGGGTTTTTGTTGCAATCCTTCGGGTTTTGGTTTTTGTTGCAATCCTGGGTTTTTGTTGCAATCCTTCGATGGCGAGTGGGACGGCCTTCCAAGAAGGCGGCCTCCCGCTCATCCTTCTCCTCCTCCTCCTCCCCCTCCTCCTCCTCTTCCGGTGGCTCTCTCTCAGCTCCCACCAATCCATGGTCGAATGGGGCTGCGCGGAAGGGCCCCCGAACGCCGCCGACCACCTCCCCCCCGCACCAGCAGGACGGAGCCCGAAGGCCAGGACCGCCATACTGGCGCAGGGAGGAGGCCCAGGCGCCTGGCTGCCCCAGAACCTCAACACCACGGGGGGCAGGAGGGCCGAGACAACCTCCAGGCGGCCCAAAGACCGAGGGGGTTGGAAAAGACACGAACAATCTACTTACAGAGCTGGCACCACCATTGTGCCGCGTCAGTGTCACCTGCTGGGCGGGTTCGAGGCCAGGGCTTCGAGAGGTGCAAACCCTTAGGCCAGGGGCTCCTCCCTTTCAAGATCTGCGCAAGTTGCTTCTCAAACATTTGGTTGCAGGGGCCCGCGAGCTTTCGGGGGAGCCCCGAAGTGTAGGCCTCTCACCCTTAACCGAAAACTAAGGGGAAACCAGTTTCCTCCTCCCCTACGGCCGTAAAACTTGTGGGAACAGAAGGGGGGAGTATGCCGAATTTCCAACAGTTGCTTTAAGTTGGGAGTTAAAGCCGCACATCCACTTGGAGCCTTCTGATTTGGGAGCGAGCGGGCGTATTTGGTGCACCTCCAACACGAGCCATCCCGAAGCACACGGGAGGACGGCCATTGGGAGAAAACCTCGGCCTCGGGACCTTGGGCTCCTTAGCCAAATCTCCGAAGAGCTCTTTCGCCATTGGGAAGTCGGCTAGGAGCTGATTCATGCCTACTGCAACCTCTTCCCAGCTTGCTAGACACTCTGCATAGAGATGACCGTATTGAAGGACATGCGCATGATGGGAGTGTACTCCATCTCTCGCGTACTCGTCAGCCTTGTCGTTGCCCGCCTTGTGGCGGGACGTGGACTGACTGGACGTGGGCCTTGACCTTTTTCAATCCGAACTCAGGTACTCTTGACCTGTCGAGGGCACGCCATACTTCTGACAGCGGGCTGGCTCCTGAGAGGGCGCGGCGCAGGGCTTGCTCAATCCTCCGAGCAAGGTTTGGCAGCCGATGTGCATTGTATACGACTCTGGGGGCTTCTCCTCCAGTGCATCGAGGTGCTGGACGCCCGAGAGGAGCCTATAAACTTCTCCAATGGCGGCGTTCTTGGGCAGGAAATCCCGGAACGTTCCCAAAGGTGCCTCTGAGAAACTTGCCATCGTCGTCCACGGCCACATGGTCGTACGTCGGCCCCCTGCAGGACCCATCACTATCTAGAACTACTAGAAGTTCGCCCCAGTCGGCCGCGACCACAAATTGAAGGACCTGGAGGTCGTTTTGGAAGGTTTCTTGAATACAAAAGACAATGTTTGGGATCCCACAGACAAGGACTTCTTGAATTCATGAACCAGGGGCCTTCCCCGAAGGGCGCAGGTGGCTCTGAGAAGGTTGGCCGGGAGCCAGGAGGGGCATCCTAGAAGCCCGACCGCCGTGGGAGAAGGCCGCCCCCCCCCTTCGCGCCTCCAAACCAGTGTTGTTGCAACGTCTCAAAGGATCGAGGCCCTGGGCAAGCGGAGGGTGCTTCCAGCCAGCTCTGCGAGATCTGCCAGCGGCTTCGTCCACCGCTGCGCGCTGGGTCGGCCTCACTCTTCTTGAGCTCCTCTTTCTCGTACTGCGCCCCGTTTCTCCCCGATCCGTTCAGCCTGCGCTTGCAGCGGGCGCGCCGCACTGACGCGGAGAAGATGACGTCGCGGGCGTTCAAGGTTGAGCGCCGCCAGTGGCCCGCTGTCGGCCGATATCGAAGGGTTGGCGCCATCAGAAAGCCACGATCAGTTAAGGTTGAACGATTCGCACGGTGCCAAAAAGGCATTGCCCGGGTCCTTGCGGCACGATATAGCCGCACGGTCGGACCGAGGTATACGAGGTCGGTTTGTGGATGGTACCTTGATGCTTTTCGTGTTGTTTGGATATGTTGGTGCATCCTGGGGAGGGTACCCTGGGATGTTCTGCGTGTTTTGGCCAGCGGCGGGTATCATGTCCTTGAAGGAGTTCATGTCGGGCGTAGCCCGAAATTGTTTCCCGCGAAATGAATTCGGACTCACTGGCTGACTGACTGACTGACTGACTGACTGACCATTGACTGGTCGCACCCATTACGCGACGGCTTTCTTCTCGGCGGCCGAACGTGGAACCTATGGCGCAACCAATAGGAGACGGTTTTATTGTCGGCGGGCGAGGGCGCAACCTATAGCGCAACCAATCCGAGACGGTTTTATTTTCGGCCGCCGAGGGCACAACCCATGGCGCAACCAATAGGAGACGGTTTCATTCTCGGCCGCCGAGGGCGCAACCTACGGCGCAACCAATAGGGGACGGTTTGATTCTCGGCAGCCGAGGGCGCAACCTACGGCGCAACCAAAAGGAGACGGATTTATTATCGGCGGCCGAGGGCGCAAGCGATGGCGCAACCGATAGGAGACGGCTTTATTCTCGGTTGCCGAGGGCACATAGTATGGCGCAACAAATAGGAGATGGTTTATTTCTCGGCGGGCGAGGGCGCAACCTATAGCACAACCGATAGAGGACGGTTTTATTCTCGGCGGGCGAGGGCGCAACCTATGGCGCAAATAGGAGACGGTTTTATTGTCGGCCGCCGAGGGCGCAACCTATGGCGCAGCCGACAGGAGACGGTTTTATTCTCGGCGACCGAGGGCGCATGTTATTGCGCAACCAATAGGGGACGGTTCTATTGTCGGCGGGCGAGGGCGCAACCTACGGCGCAACCAACACGAGACGTTTTTTTTCTGGGCGGCCGAGGGCGCAACCTATGGCGCAACCAATAGGAAATTGGTTCCCTTGACCGCCGAGGGCGCAACCTACGGCGCAACCAATAGTGGACGGCTTTATTCTCGGTGGCCGAGGGCGCAACCTATGGCGCAACCAATAAGACACGGTTTCATTCTCGGCCGCCGTTGGCGCAACCTATGGCGCAATGAACAGGAGACGATTTTTACCTAACAGCTTTTGCTGATAGGTTTCTAGTAGGGTCAAAAGAGAGCATCTGGACTCCACAGGGGGGTCTGGGGGGGTGCCGGGGAGGAGAACCGGGAATCGTTTTTCGCCAACAGTCACACACTTCGTGCCCTTCGACCTCCCAGAATTCCATTCCCGGGGCACATTCTGGAGAACCGGGAACAGAGCCGGGCTCGCTTTTCGCCAACAGTCACACACTTCGTGCTCTTCGACTCCCCAGAACTCCATTCCCGGGCCACATTTTGGATGCTTGGAGCCAACTGTAGGCCACTTCGTGCTCTTCGATTTCCCAGAACTCCATTCCCGGGCCACATTTTGGATGCCCGGAGCCAACTGTAGGCCACTTCGTGGTCTTCGAGTTTCCAGAACTCCATTCCTGGGCATGATTTTGGATGCCCGGAGCCAACTGTAGGCCACTTCGTGTTCTTCTAGTTCCCAGAACTCCATTCCTGGGCCACATTTTGAATGCTGAGGCAGGCTGATGCTGCGGCCGAGGCAGGCTGAGGCTGAGGCAGGCTGAGGCTGAGGCCGAGGCTGAAGGCAGACTGAGGCTGAGGCTGAAGCAGACTGAGGCTGAGGCTGAGGCAGGCTGAGGCTGAGGCAGGCTGATGCTGAGGCAGGCTGAGGCTGAGGCTGAGGCTGATGCAGGCTGAGGCTGAGGCAGGCTGAGGCTGAGGCCGAGGCTGAAGGCAGACTGAGGCTGAGGCTGAAGCAGGCTGAGGCTGAGGCTGAGGCAGGCTGAGGCTGAGGCTGAGGCTGGCTGAGGCTGAGGCAGGCTGAGGCTGTGACTGCGACTGCCGTTGCCGCTGCGACTGTCATCGCGAATGCGACTACGACTGCGAGAACAGCAGAATTCTACAACTGGATTTTCATCTGAATCTTAAGGGGAATGCTTTCAGATATGCTTCTACACATCGCTGTTAGGTTACTTTGCCGGGATAATATTGTCGGCGGCCGCGGGCGCAAGCGATGGCGCGACCGATAGGGGACGGTTGTTTCCCTACCTAGGCTCTGCCTAGAAGGGTTTTTACTCTCTTGGCTTAGAGGGCCGGGCAGTGGGAACCGGCCCGGGCGGTTCCCCCAGTATCCGCCCCGCGGTTCCCCCAGTTACGTCCCCGTTAGCTTAGCGTTGCTTATCTCATCTTAGCTTAGCTTATTTAATGTTAGCTTAGCTTAGCTTAATATTAGCTCAGGTTTATCTTAGCTTAGCTTACCTTCATCTTAGCTTCGCCGAGCTTTAGCATAGCAGAGCACAGCATAGCATAACATAGCGTAGCATACCATAGCGCAGCATAGCATATCATAGCATAGCCCAGCATAGCATATCATAGCGCAGCATAGCATAGCATAGCATAGCGCAGCACAGCACAGCATAGCACAGCGCAGCATAGAGCATAGCATAGCATAGCATAGCATAGCGCAGCTTAGCATAGCATAGCATAGCATAGCACATCATACCATAGCGCAGCATAGTATAGCATAGCATAGCATAGCGCAGCACAGCACAGCACAGCACAGCACAGCATCGCATAGCATAGCGTAGCATAGCATATCTTATCATAGCGCAACTTAGCATAGTATAGCATTGCATAGCACAGCTTAGCATAGCACAGCGCAGCATGACATTGCATAGCTTAGCATAACATAGCATAGCATATCATAGCGCAGCATAGCATAGCATAGCGCAGCATAGTATGGCATAGCATAGCATAGCATAGCAACTAATGTTGCTTTCCTAGGGGCTCCAACTTCTAGGTAGGGTCGCACTGGGGTAATATCTCGGCTGCCGAGGGCGCATACTTTGGCGCAACCCGTAGGGGACGGTTTTTCTTGGCGGGCGAGGGCGCAACCTATGGCGCAACCGATAGAGGACGGTTTTATTCTCGGCCGCCGAGGGCGCAACCCATGGCGCAACTAATGGGAGACGGCTTCATTCTCGTCGACCGTGGGCGCAAGCTATGGCGCAACGAATAGGAGGCGGTTTCATTCTCGGCCGCCGTTGGCGCAACCTATGGCGCAATTAACAGGAGACGGTTTTATTCCGGGCGGCCGAGGGCGCAACCTATGGCGCAGCCGACAGGAGACGGTTTTATTCTCGGCGACCGAGGGCGCATGTTATTGCGCAACCAATAGGGGACGGTTCTATTGTCGGCGGGCGAGGGCGCAACCTACGGCGCAACCAACACGAGACGTTTTTTTTCTGGGCGGCCGAGGGCGCAACCTATGGCGCAACCAATAGGAAATTGGTTCCCTTGACCGCCGAGGGCGCAACCTACGGCGCAACCAGCCGGAGTCGGTTGTATTCTCGGCGGCCGAGGGCGCAACCTATGCCGTCTGCCGCCGACCTTCGAGAAGGGTTGTGGGGGTTTTGCGACGCACCACGCATGCAAACATCCGCTACATGCCGCACCTGCCATCAACATGCAACGGCACCATCGCATATTTCAGCGTGGTGTTGTGCCTGCTTCCGGTGTCTTTTCGGCAGCAGCGTCGACACATCCACCATGAAAGATCGACGCGCCGTATGGATTGGACAGTTTTGGTCGGACCCAGACGTGCGGAACACGTGGCCACGCCACCTCTGAGAATGCCCAAGGTTTCTCCCAGCATCTATCCACTCCCACGAACTACTTCGCCACGGACGGTCCAGCGCGCCGCGGCGGTCTAGCATACGCGTGCTTTGCGCAAGCACGGGCGCGAGAGACCCAGGACGCCCAGTCGCTTTCGAGCGATGCGCGGGTTCGCCCCCGCAATGTATGCCAAAATTGCAATCTCACACGCCGGGCAAAGCCTAAAAGGGCTTTCGTCTGCCCGATCCTCCCTTCGCTCTCTTCTCCTTCTTTCTCTCATCGACGCGAAGGCCCCCGGGCCCCCCATGGCACCCTCCGCTTGCCTGGGTGATCCACTCAGGCCGCGGGGGGGGGGTACGGGGGGGGGGCTGGGTATTCTTGTCCCGAAAAGTTTGTACTTCGTCGCCATTGGGGGGAGGGGGGACGCACCGTTCCCTCGGATGGGCGCGCCCACCCCCCCCTCGAACTCTCGACCCCATCCCGCGCCCTTCTCTGTCCTCCCCCACGCCCCTCGCATTTCAATGCCTTCGGCATGTCCGCCGAAGGCATCCCTGGCAAGGTCCGTGACCTGGTCCGGCTTTGAACTGAACCGCCAGCGGGTCAGCGAGGGCGAGGGGGTCCGAGGCGCCAGGAAAAGGAGGATGAGCAGGAGGAGGACGAGGAGAAACGAGGACGAGGTCTTAGACGAGGACGACGACGAGGAGGAGTTGGACCACGAGGAGGGCGAGGAAGAGGAGGAAAATGAGGAGGAGGAGGAGGAGCAGGAAGAGGGCGACGACGATCTGGATGGGGAAGACGACGGGGAGGAATACGAGTAGTACGAGGACGAGGTGTGGGCATTCGAATGCGTGCGGGGCCACGCCCGATGTATGGTCGCCGTTTGGGCTGGCGGCGGGGCCAAAGCGGCGAGCTGTTTTGTGATTATGTCCTAGGTCCGGCTGTACTCCTCCTCCTCCTTTTATCCTGCGACGGTGCTCTCTGCCTTCCCGCTTCGAGGCTAAGACTCCTGGAGGGCTGTGTTTTTGGGCCCCGTTCGAGGCAGGCATCTCGTACTTGTGGCAGGTTGCGCATTGCTCGTGCACTACATTCGACCCGCACAATACGGACCAACGACTTTCCAAAGCTACTCTGCATCCTCCCCCCTCGGCCCATCCTTGGCCGTGCTCGCTGGCCTGCCCCCGCTCTCGAAGTGCCGGCATGGCATTCCAAGGCCCGTGCATCCTTATCGTGCGTCCTTATTAGACGGGTTGATTATACCGGCCCGTGGTCTAGTAATTTATGCCCACTGACGTACCATCATTGAGGCAGGTTCGGTTCGCGTCGCGTCTACGCGGCGGCGGCCCTGGCGCGGGCGTTTGAGATCGAATGTCGCCACTGGCCAAGGACCGTTATTATATCGAACGAGGATCGTTGCCGGAAGGCCGTGATCTTTCCAGGTTGAGCGATCCACGCGGAGCTAGAAGCCAACACGCACAAACCATCACGACGCAAACCTGACGCACGCGATGGCCGCGATTACCGGGAGCGGGCCTCGGAGGCCTCGCCTCCTCCCCCCGAAGGCTCCCAGGGGCCGGCCCCGAGGAGGAGAGGCGCGCTCTCCTGGAGGCCGAGCATCGAAGAAGGAAAACGCCATGCGGGCTGTGCGTGTTTTGGGCTGTTTGGTTGTGTGCTAGTTTTTGTCCTAGCCCTCCTGTATCCTTCCTCCTTCTTCTCCACCTTTCTCCTGCCTCCTCCGCTGCTTCCTGGGGCGCTGCGACCTGCGCAAGTAACTGGCGCCACTTGCGTGGGCTCTTGGGAGGCACGGCGGGGTAGTGGAGTAGGCGGACCCAGCCGAGACCTCGCAGTTCTTTCGGTTTGCTTGTTTTGTTTTTGTGTGGTCGGTCCCCGCGTGCTATCCTCCGCTGCAGCCTACAGCGATTCCGTATTCTGGGCCCCATGGAGTCCTGAAATGATCGCGATGACAGGTTCTGAACTATTTTCGGTCTCGGGGGGCCCTCGCTGGACGTCGGGGCAGTCACCAAAAGCGACTCAAGATGAAAAGCCGGCCCTGGGGAACGGGTCGAGGCTTCGGGGGGTCGACGCTAGGAAAAGAACACGGGAGTCCATCCGGGACGGACAGCTGTCCCTGCCGGGACAGGGGTCGAGAACCGGGCCTCGTTGTTTTGGCAGAGGTCGGGCGGGGCGAGAACGAGGATGAATCCGTTCCCGCGCGTTCCGGAGCGCTCTCAGGGCGTCCATTACCTCTCTGAGACGGCCGCGGCGCCCGAGACATCCTCCAGAGCCGCCAGATCTCAGAGATTCGATCGAGCTATCCCCACTCGAATCTGTGCTCGTCTTGGCTTCGCTTGGCTCGTTGTTTTGGCCGAGGGTGCTAAGAGGCGGTCCCCGGCTGCCCCTGGCAGGCCCCCGGGGTGGCCGTCTCGACGCGCGCGCCTGGGGCGCGCCAGGGCGCCCCTCGCGGCGCGGCGGCGCTGGGGTGGTGGGGCCCCCCGTGGGCTCGGACCGCCGCTCGGGAGTGTCTGCACTCGCAGGCGGCTGTGCTCTCTCCCCCCGACTACTCGACGAAAACTGAAGCCGCTCGGAGGAGGATGGCAACCCTGAAATGCACCCCAGGGGGCTATTCGGACGCACCCCATATCGAGGATGGGCGCCCTCCCCCATCGTATGTCCCAGGGTCGAGCCCCGAGTTTCTGGTCCATTCGAGAGCCCCACGGAGCCTGGCATGGGGGTCGACAGATCCCTTGTTCTGCACGCAGCTCTGTGCCCTGGCTGCGGGCAAGAGTTGTGCCCACATCCGCTGCGTCTTGGAGTTTGGGGGCTACCAGGGGCGCAGCGTATATATGGATGAATGAAACTGTCTGGCCCCCTATCGTGGTTAGATGTTTGCCCATACCCACCGCGCCTCGGCCCAGAACGTCCCGGACGCGGTGGATCTGGACATGGATCTTGCCCGCGCTGGCCTCGAGGAGCAGGCCAGGCTGAAGGAGAGGGCGCAGGACGAGGAGGGCCTGCGTGGGCACCACCCAGGCGAGCCGAGCAGGGCACGCTCCGAGAGCAGGCGGAGCCTCTTCCCGGCACAGGGGCCCTCGGCGAGCCCGCCTCCGCCGCGCGCCTCCTCGGAGGCCCCGCGGACGACGGACCCGCTCCGCCCACCGGCGTCGGCCTCGCGCGCCGCGCCGCAGAGCAGCCTCGGAGCTCCCACCTTGCCCGCGCTCGCCCCGGGCGGGGAGGAGCGCTTCCAGGTGAGCCTCTCGCGCCAGGAGCTGGAGACTCTGAAGGAGTGGCACAATGCGGAGCAGCGTAGGCTCTCTGCCGTGCTGGGCGGGCAGGAGGTTGCGCACCAGGCGCTGGCTGCGGGCCTCTCTGTCGGGCCACCTCCCGCCGCTGCGCCAGTGCAGCGGGTATCGACCGTCCAAGCTGGAGGCCCCCAGGCCGGGACGCCTGCACGAGCCGGGCAGCAGCCATCGCGAGGACAATCTGATCACGAGACGGAGTACGAGTACGAGACTGACGTGGAGGGCGTGGGCCCCTCTGTCGGGCCACCTCCGGCCGCTGCGCCAGTGCAGCGGGTATCGACCGTCCAAGCTGGAGGCCCCCAGGCCGGGACGCCTGCACGAGCCGGGCAGCAGCCATCGCGAGGACAATCTGATTACGAGACGGAGTACGAGACCGAGACTGACGTGGAGGGCGTTGGGCCCTCCAGCAGGGCGGTGGCGGCCGCAGCACCAGTGCAGCCGCCTCCTGTCCAAGCCGCAGGCCCCCAGGCCGGGACGCCTGTACGTGCCGTGCAGCAGCCATCACAAGATCAATCTGATTACGAGACTGAGTACGAGACTGACAAGGAGGATGTCGTCAAGGACTTCCAGCAGAAGGAGGACCACCAGCAGCGGCTGGGACAAGAGGAGCAGCAGCAGCGGCTTGGCCAGCAGCAGCAGCAGCAGCAGCAGCAGCATCAACAGCAGCAGCAGCAGCAGCAGCAGCAGCAGCAGCAGGAACAGCAGCAGCGGCAGGAGCAGCTGCGGCTGCGGCAGCAACAGCGACGGCAGCAGCGGCAGCAGCAGCAGCAGCAGCAGCAGCAGCAGCTGGCGCAGCAGCGGCTGCGGCAGCAGGAGCCTCGGCCTGACGTCACTGCCTCCTCCTCTCCAGCAGCGCAGCAGCTCCAGCCGCAGGCAGGGTCGGACGCGCGCCGCCCAGAGGCCATGCCTTCCCAGTTGCAGGCCCAGAACGGCAGGCTCGTTGGGGTGGTGCACCAGCCGCAGGCGGAGAGCCTTCCTGGCATGCCAGGGGCGGCCGCGGCACCAGGGCAGCCTTCGGCCGTCCCTGCCGGAGGCCCCCAGGCGGGGACGCCCGTAGGTCCTCGGCAGCAGCCATCACAAGGAGTGCCCGAGGAGGAGTCTGATGAGTACGAGACTGACGAGGAGGGCGAGGGACGCTCTGGCGGGCCGCCGCCGGCCGCTGCGCCAGCGCAGCCGCCGTCGGCCGTCGCGTCCAGCGGCCACCCGAACGGGGCGCCCGCTGGCATGCCGGTGGCGGCCGCGGCACCAGGGCAGCCTCCGGCCGTCCCAGCCGGAGGCCCCCAGGAGGGAACGCCCGTAGGTCCTCGGCAGCAGCCATCACAAGGAGTGCCCGAGGAGGCCGTCGCGTCCAGAGGTCACCCGAACGGGGCGCACGCTGGCATGACCGTGGCGGCCGCCGCAGCACCAGGGCAGCCTTCGGCCGTCCCAGCGGGAGGCCCCCAGGCGGGGACGCCCGTAGGTCCTCGGCAGCAGCCATCACAAGGAGTGCCCGAGGAGGAGTCTGATGAGTACGAGACTGACGAGGAGGGCGAGGGACCCTCTGGCGGGCCGCTGCCGGCCGCTGCGCCAGCGCAGCCGCCGTCGGCCGTCGCGTCCAGCGGCCACCCGAACGGGGCGCCCGCTGGCATGCCGGGGGCGGCCGCGGCACCAGGGCAGCCTTCGGCCGTCCCAGCCGGAGGCCCCCAGGCGGGGACGCCCGTAGGTCCTCGGCAGCAGCCATCACAAGGAGTGCCCGAGGAGGAGTCTGATGAGTACGAGACTGACGAGGAGGGCGAGGGACGCTCTGGCGGGCCGCCGCCGGCCGCTGCGCCAGCGCAGCCGCCGTCGGCCGTCGCGTCCAGCGGCCACCCGAACGGGGCGCCCGCTGGCATGCCGGGGGCGGCCGCGGCACCAGGGCAGCCTTCGGCCGTCCCAGCCGGAGGCCCCCAGGAGGGAACGCCCGTAGGTCCTCGGCAGCAGCCATCACAAGGAGTGCCCGAGGAGGCCGTCGCGTCCAGAGGTCACCCGAACGGGGCGCCCGCTGGCATGACCGTGGCGGCCGCCGCAGCACCAGGGCAGCCTTCGGCCGTCCCTGCCGGAGGCCCCCAGGCGGGGACGCCCGTAGGTCCTCGGCAGCAGCCATCACAAGGAGTGCCCGAGGAGGAGTCTGATGAGTACGAGACTGACGAGGAGGGCGAGGGACGCTCTGGCGGGCCGCCGCCGGCCGCTGCGCCAGCGCAGCCGCCGTCGGCCGTCGCGTCCAGCGGCCACCCGAACGGGGCGCCCGCTGGCATGCCGGGGGCGGCCGCGGCACCAGGGCAGCCTTCGGCCGTCCCAGCCGGAGGCCCCCAGGAGGGAACGCCCGTAGGTCCTCGGCAGCAGCCATCACAAGGAGTGCCCGAGGAGGCCGTCGCGTCCAGAGGTCACCCGAACGGGGCGCCCGCTGGCATGCCGGGGGCGGCCGCGGCACCAGGGCAGCCTTCGGCCGTCCCAGCGGGTGGCCCCCAGGCAGGGACGCCCGTAGGTCTTCGGCAGCAGCCATCGCAAGGAGTGCCCGAGGAGGAGTCTGATGAGTACGAGACTGACGAGGAGGGCGAGGGACGCTCTGGCGGGCCGCCGCCGGCCGCTGCCCCAGCGCAGCCGCCGTCGGCCGTCGCGTCCAGAGGTCACCCGAACGGGGCGCCCGCTGGCATGCCGGGGGCGGCCGCGGCACCAGGGCAGCCTTCGGCCGTCCCTGCCGGAGGCCCCCAGGCGGGGACGCCCGCAGGTCCTCGGCAGCAGCCATCACAAGGAGTGCCCGAGGGGGGCAAGAGACCTTCTGGCAGACCGTGGCTCATGGACGAGGAGGCCGCTGCGACGAAGATACAGGCGGCCTATCGTGGCAAGGTTGGCAGGGACGACGTCGCTTTCCAGAGGAGGATGCAGGAGGACGCCCGTAGGATCCACGAGATGGACGGCGTGGACGACCTCCTGCTCGGTTTGCTGGACGAGGGCGACGCTGAGGATGAGGCAGACGGCACACCTTCAGCCGCGGGCGTGTGTGGGCAGCCAGCGGGGCACGTGGGCGCGCGGAGCAGCGCGGACAATCTGTTGGCCGGCCTGCTGGACGACGAGGGCGAGATCGAGGACGATGGCCAGGGTTTCCCTCCGTCCGTGGAGGAGGCCGCCGCCACGCGACTGCAGGCCGAGGGGCCAGGGGCAATTTCGAGCGGGCTGGAGAGGCAGGTGCCCCCCAAGCTTGGTGACGGACTCGCCCTTGGAGCATAGATCGCCATGATCGGCGGCGAGCGAGGGGAAGTGGGGGAAGTGAGAAGGAGAAGGCCTTTTCAGAAGGCGGCAGGACTTCTCAGAAACCCTCGCGCCTTCTGATAAGTTTGCTGCGTTTTCGGGGAAGGCTTAGAAAACTTCTCAGAAGGCCAGGGGACTTCCGAGCCTTCTGAGAAGGCCCGCCCCTTCTCACTTCCCCCCTGAGCTCGCCGCCGACATGAGGGAAGCGGGTCCTGAGGGACACGAGTCCTGACGTTTTCTATCGTTTCCGGGCTCTCGGGGCCTCCACAGACTCCAGGATTGTCAGACGATGGTTCCGGGTGAAGATCTCGTCCCGCGGGAAGGCCCCCGGGTGCAGGACACGTTTCCCTCGGGACCTGTTTCCCCCGTGCTAGATGGATCGCCCTCCCCAGACCCCCGACCTCATGATTTGTTCCATGACGTCGACCCCAATGTAAGAGGCCTCGACCCATTCCCCAGGATTGGTTTTTCATCCCGAGCAGTTTTGGTTGGCGGTCCCGAGGCCTGGCAAGGGCCCCAAAGGCCGAACACTGCGAAAGACCTTCCGCCGTGATCGTTCCATGTCTCGATGGGGGTCCCCGGGCCTCCTTCTCCTGCTCTGGGCCCGCCTGGCGCGTCTTCCCGCGCCTCCCCGTGCGCCCTCCGCCCCTCCCTCCGGCGCCGGGCCTCGGCGGAGCCGCGCGGGCACCGGCAGCGCCCCTGGAAGAGCCAGGGGGCCAGCTGCTGGCCGACGACGCGTCCGCGTCGGAGGTTGAGATCGACTGACTTCCTACCCTGACGCGTCGATCAGCGGATGGGCCGTTTTCGGTTCGCGAGAGGGCGTCGCGGCCGTCACTTTTGCGGGTCCAGGTCCGTCGGTTTCGGTCCTAGGCCGTTTACACTACAGGGAGTTCTGCTAAAGGGAGGTTTGTCCACCGCCGATTGACAGCATCACGAGTCATGAGAAAAAGGACGCGTTGTTTTGTGTTTTTTTCGTGGTCGGTCCACGCACGCGTTCCTCCGCTGTGGCCTGTCGCGGTGCCGTGTTCTGGGCCCCAGACCCAAACCCCCTCGAGTCATGAAAAATCTGCGACGGCAGGCTTCTCGACATGTTTCGCCATCTGGGGGCCCTTACCGGGCCTCGGGTTTAACAGCGACTCAGGACGAAACACCGGAACCCGAGTGAGCCGGTCGACACCTCAGAGGGTCGATTCCATGGAGAAATCATGGCGTCGGGAATTTGGGCATGCCCCCCGCGGCCACAGACCCCTGACGCCAGGTCTTTTTGTGTAAGAGCGTCGACCCCCGGAGGTCTCGACTCAGTCCCCGGGGACTGGTGCTTCGTCCTGAGCCGTCCTTGACGGCCCCGAGGCCAGAGAAGGACCCCCCCCAACTCTCCCGCCGCGACGTCCATGGGGGTCTGGCCGGAGACACGCTAGCGGCGATGTAGGTAGCGGCGATGTAGGTTTGGGTATTGTAGATGGGGGTGGCTCGTGGCCAAGGAATATTCGAGTTTCCCCGCCACTTGCTCTGTGCGAGTTCGGCGTCGCAAAAACCCGTCACCGCGGCCCTGCATGGTCGGGGCCAGGCGGCCTTCCGCGGCCACCACTCGCGGGCGGCCTGGCACGGCGAGAAGCAGCGGCCGCCGGACCCCTCGCAGTTCAGCCGCGTGCTGGCGGCTCGGGACGGGCCGCACGGCCTCGGCGTGCGGCCGTCCAGCGACCTCAGGGTGCCGCGGGTCGCTCCCGGCACCTGGGCCGCGAGGGTCGGCGTGCTTCCGGGCGACGAGCTGCTGGCGCTGGACGGGTACCTGGCCGCCGAGATGGCGGACGACGCCTTCGAGGAACAAAGGGGGGGGGGGTGCAGGCCGTTGCCGCTGCTCGTCCTTCGCGAGGCCCCCGTGGTCTTCGGCCGATTGCTCCCCAAAGTGCTGGCTCCGAGCGCACCCCAGCAGGGGTCTGGGGAGTGAGAGTGTGTTTTTTGTTATCCTCTGCCCTTCACAATTACTCAATATGAATACTACTCTCCCTCTTCCCCTGATGGCGTGCTGGGAGTGGCCGACCCCCCCCGCGCACTGTTTTTTAACTCACAGGATTCCCGGGAGTTGGGTTTTCGCCTGCGTTTTTTTTCAAAATGCTGCTCTCGCTGAGGCGCCGGCCTCATTTCTGCTCCCGAATCGTTCCGAATCGTGCTCCCGCTGCAGCGTGGGCCTCATTTTCGGATCGGTGTTTGGCCTCCGTCGTTCAGGATGGCGTTCTCGCCCCAGCGCGGGCCTCTTTCTCGCGCGCCCATCCGCCCGCCACCACCGCGCCGCACCACCACCCACCACCACCACCACCACCACCACCACCACCACCACACCACCACCACGACACCACCACCACCAGCACCACCACCACAACCACCAGCACCACCACCCACCTCCACCACCACCACCACCACCACCATCACCACCACCACCACCACCACCACCACCAGCCAGCAGCACCACCACCACCACCACCACAACCACGCACACACGCACGCACGCACGCACGCACGCACCACCACCCACTACGCACGCGCGCGCGGAGCCACAGGTCCGCTACGACACGCGTCCGCGGATAGAGAAAATCAGCGCCATGGTAAGGGATGGGAGGGAGGGGTAGGACGTCAGATATGACGCGAGCGCACCTAGCTTGTTCTCCCCCCCTCCCCCACGTCACCCATTGCGTAACGCTCTCCCCCCCCCCAGTGCGTCACCAGCACTGCCGCAGTGCGTCTCTGGCACCGCAGTCTGTCACGGTGGGGGGCGGGGGCGTTACGTTATGGCCCCCCCCCCGCCCCCCCCCTCCCCCCCCACCACGCCTGTTATCGTCGCGAATCAATGTTCTCTAAAGTGGTTGGTGTCGGCATCGTTACGTTCTCCTAGAGGAGGCGATGGCCCCACCCCCTCCCCCTCCAAACACGCCAGCTGCCGCCGCGAACAATCATGCTCTCTATGGCTGTACCGGTACCGCTTCGGTCCCCCAAAGGAGGCGATGGCCAGCGAGCGGCCCCTGCGGCTGTCTTTCGTGCGCGCGGCGGCGTCGACGCTGGCCCCGCCGCGCGAGCAGAGCAAGGTCCCCGCCCAGGGTCCGAGGCAGGGCAAGGCTGGCGCGGCCTCCGCCAAGGAGCCGAGGCTCATGCACGGACGGGTGGAGGTGCAGAGGAGGGAAAGCAAAGAAGAAAGCACGGCATGCAAACATAAGCTTTCGGAGCTCTTCGCGGATTCCTTGGGTCGGCGCCTGGGTTCCCTGGCGGCGCCTCCGGCGCCGCTGCCTTGTTTTCGCGCTCTTGGGCTTCCTGGGAGGCCCTCATCGCCACGGCTGGACTGGCTTCGAAATTCTTGGTAGAGCGCACCCCAGGAGAGGTCCGGGGAGTGTGTCGGTCTCGTTTGGTCCCCCCAGAGGTGGGCACCGACAATTTGGGGTGGTCGCCTGTGTCCTTGCGCCCAAAGGGGCCCCTGGGCCCGGTGGCCGTGAAGAAGGTCGCGGCCGACGGCTGGGCGTCCCAGATAGGGGTGGAGAAGGGCGACGAGCTGGCTCTCGTAGACGG